TATGGGACTACACAAACATATGGCATTCAAATCGGGCCTCATTTTAAAGCTGTTACTTGTCATATCTGGGATATGAAGTCATTTGAAATAGATTTTCAGGGGAAAACTTTTTTCTTTGATGTTCTTCCACACTTGCATAATAAGAATGATAAATGCTCACAAATTATTGTTCACCTTTAACTCAACCTTAACATGGGCGGCTTTCTGCTTTGTATCGGAATAACAAAGCTTGTTATTGATTTTCTCCCAGACTATTTTATACCGCAATAGTAATCGACTATATTTTATTGCAACGCACGCACTTCGGGAATGTGATGGGTTAGCATTGATAACATGGCGTTCTGCTTGTTTCAGAGTATCAAAATACCAAGCCCACAAGAAAGTGGAATTGTCGGAAATAAGCGTTTATTGTAAATTACATATGATAGTAGTCATTGCCACGCAGTTAAAATGTCCAACAATCTTAAGAAGTGAAGGAGAAGTGGGGGGGGGGGGGGGGGGGGGGGAGGTTCATAGATATCTGATCCTATTTGGGGGGCTGTACTGACTTTTCTTTTTATTTAATAATTACACCATGCATGGAGCGACAACTCAGCCTATAAAACATGGCCAAACTTCTCGATTTTAGAAATCTTTTCCCCCAGAAGTTTGCTCAGTGTACCAGTACCATTTGCTTTTACAAAAGCATAATATACCGGTATATAAATATTGATTAAGGCAGACTAATGGGACATGCATGGTTGCTACTCCGAGTTTCACGCCTTGGAAGCGATCATCAGACAACTGATAGCATTCTTACATGATTCCTCTGCAACCTTGGTACAAATACGCTCAAAATAAGACTTAACTACAATACCTGAATACAATATAATAAGAATTACTCATGAGTAATTCTATTTGTATTTTATTAGTTAAGTCTTATTTTAGGGGTATTTGTACCAATGTTGTAGGATAATCATGTTTAAGAATGCTATCAATTGCCTGATGATTGCTTGCAAGGCGCGAAACTCGGAGTAGAAACCATGTCCCATATAGTCTGCCTGCATGCTCTGCCTAGGCATTGACCACTGTTCGGAAGGATTTATTAGCAAAGCATAATATAAGAGGAAGGGGGAGAGCAGCCGGGTCACCGTACCCCAGAAGAAGAACACACTCCCTTCTCGTCTTCCTTCGACAATAATCGGGCAAAAAGTCACTATTTGGGGCCGAAAGGTAAATAAATTTAAACTGGGAAAGTGGAAAATAAAGCAGCGGTGAAATAACAACTGCAGAACATCCCTCGCTGTTCATTTTCGATAAGCCTAATGTATACCCGGGTGTAACCATAACAAACATGATTTTGTTTTTATTTTATACCTCTGATATTTTTACCTCTGACATTTTTTCCTCTGACATTTTTACCTCTGACATTTTTACCTCTGACATTTTTACCTCTGACATTTTTACCTCTGACATTTTTACCTTTGACATATTTACCTCTGACATTTTTACCTCTGACATTTTTACCTCTGACATTTTTACCTCTGACATTTTTACCTCTGACATTTTTACCTCTGACATTTTTTCCTCTGACATTTTTTCCTCTGACATTTTTACCTCTGACATTTTTACCTCTGACATTTTTACCTCTGACATTTTTACCTCTGACATTTTTACCTCTGATTTTTACCTCTGACATATTTTCCTCCGACATATTTACCTCTGACATTTTTACCTTTGACATTTTTTACACCGAGCCAGAATGAAGAGTTGACACAGAGTTCTACCTTGAGTATTCTGATAATAACATCGTTTTAACTTTGGCCTTAAATGAGTAGAGGGAGCAACATGATTTAATAGATTCTGGGAGAGAGTTCCATAGGTCGGGACCATGGTGTCTGATATATCAGTCAAACAAGTTAGAGAGTTTTAGAGTTCAAATTATTCTTAACATTTTAGTAGTTTAGCAATCTTCGTCTATTCAGAGGAAGGAGGGCGTTAACCCTCTGTTTAGGTACATATAGATTTACATGCTTTTGGCTCCAACGGATTATCATTTAGTCGCTGAATATTATCAGTGCTTTCATTAATGCGTAATCATTACATATTAACAATGATGAAGTTCAAGGGGGGGGGGGTGCTTTGCAAATCCCATGTCATCGATAACGGTGATGATACAAATGACTAAAATCAGTATCCTAAAGTTTAAAGGTAATACAACATTTTGGGAAATTTTGAAAATTGGGTTTATAGTGATTCTTTCCGATTTCTTTATATTTGGATGTATTATAAGCACTAGAAAATTTAGCCCCTTTATACTCGATTTCAACCGCAGCAACGTACGATCATTGAATATTGTAGGATCGCATATGCTTCCAAAAGTTCATTTGAACCAAATTCATGACCCCATATCAAAACTTTGTAATACCTTTAATAGAAAGGTCTTAATTACGTGTCAGCTCTTTCTTCGATAGGCAAAAGGCAAATGAATTATGAAATACTTAAATTATCATTTGTTGTTGTTGAACATTAAACAATTATTGGATGGGAAATGAAGAAAAAAAAGTCAAGAAAGAAGAGATGGGCGAAAAGAAAATGAAATGTAGGGTAAGAAGACAAAAAGTGGAGATGATGAGGAAGGAGAGGAAGAAGAAAACGGAAGAAAACTGAGGAAAAAAAGACGACGAAGAAGAAGATTAAAACTAGGTTTTCATGATAGGATGTGTGTTATTATCATTTTCATATTTGAACCTGTTATATGGATTGTCTACAAATATTTGGACAACAGTTTTCGGCTGAAATTATTGCAGAACAGAAAAGAGAGGATAACGAATTGTTATAAATATATTAGAGTAAGTTAAAACAGCCTTGTATCCCTGGTGCGGCGGTGTGTATAAAACTGAAACCAAATACTCAAAATATAATCCCCACCTGTTTTCGCCAACATTTTGCACGATGTAGCAATTACGATTCCTGCTGGCTGCACCCGCTCTCCATAGACTCTGTACGAAATAATGGATTTTCCATGAAAACCAATCATAAAATGTATGATTATGAGAGAGATGTAAACAAGTTCACCCTTTAAAACCAGGAATTAGTACAGCGGGGATCACAACATGATGTCTGTTGTTTTTATTAGCGGTTTAAATGTCGGGTCAACGGTCATGATCAATGTCGAATGCTATAAATCAGCAGCGTACACACCAGGGTATACAATTTCACTCCCATTCCGAGAAAAAAATAGTGCACCGATAGAGAAGGACGGCCCGAAAATCAGGTGTATCACAAGATGGGGAGGGGCGGGGGAGGGGCGGGGGAGGGGCGGGGGAGGGGCGGGGGAGGGGCGGGAGCGGAGCGGTGGTGCAGTCCTCCGATTTGTTTTGATTTGTTTTTTTGCTAATGAAAATATTCGGGAAACCGTTATCTCATGTTCACCTACGAAGGTGCATAAGTCTCTTTTCATTCGTTATTGTTACAAAAGTAGATGTTCGGGCGCAAGGCGTAACCCCTGGCAACAGTTATCCGCTTATTCAAAGCTTTGATTTTGTTTTAGTCTTATACTTAATCACCAAACTGACCCCCCCCCCCCCCCTCCCGGACACACACACAAATGGAACCTCTGTCGAAAACGTCGCACTTTGGAGCACCGGCTTTAGCCTCTCAACATGTTTATAATGATTCATGTGGTGCACAATTTTTTTGAATTACTTTACACAGCTTTACACAACCAATTTACAGTGTATGAAATTGGAGAGCAAAATATTTATTCTGTTTTATTTACTAATGTAAAGCGCTTTAAGCATGTTTATGTAAATGCGCTATATAAATATCAATATGTGTGTATGTATGTATGTGTGGTATTTCTGCTCGTCTAACAGCGAGGAAGAACAATACCATTTTCAAATTTAGGTACACGCATTGTAGAAAATGGCGTAGATACGAGGGTAAAGGCGCATGTGCCCCCAACTCGAACAGTACAAAATTCTTTGAAAGAGCGGGAAAAAAAAGAGGAACTTGTGAAACGATGCCTCGACCACCCTCAGCTTAGAGTACCCTTGTAAATTTGCATTTCATTTTCTGGGGCACCGATCCGTCTCCCAACCGTACCAGCGAGGTGCATGAAAGAAAGAACATGTTATCCATTATAATTATTTAGGCATGAACAAATATTTATTTTTATTTGATATGTGTAATGTAATGACATTTCTTGCATTCAACAAAGGATAGAATGTGAGGGAGTGACATCATATTTAAAGGTACTATGTCCCTTTTGCAGCCAACCTCAAATTCTGTAGAACTTTGCAGGAATTATGAATATGTCATGTATGTCCTATCTGTGAAATTTAAACGTTAGCAGTGTCCTCATATTCAAATTGTGCAAGGAAACCTTTTTACTTGCTAGACTTCACTGTCAGACACTATTGAGTGACTGACTGGCTTTTTTTCTTCTTTGGTAATAACATACATGAAAAGAGTTGTAAAGGGTACATGAGCATTTGTCTACATCAATAACCCACTTCTTGTGATGGCCAAGATTAAACTGATTGAATCTTTGCGCAGCATAAAACGTATGACCATTCGGTACAATTGTCTGAAAATCAAGACTATTACTTTTGGGCTCTATAGCCCTAAAGTCGATTTGACAACTAATAGTCATTATTTTCTCACTTAAAGACATTTTCAAGCCCCACTTTTTTTTAGGGAAGTTCTAAATTAGTATAATCTTTCAAATGCAGTTGGAAGTTAACTTTTTCAATTTTTTGGCCTGCAAATGGGACATAGTACCTTTAAAGACCGTGGTGTCAATTTGACTCACTGGATTTAAAGTATTTCTTGAAAGGTTATGGATTGAAACAATCCATAACTTTCTTATGTATTGTCCGATTTTTTTCTCAAACCTTCACTGATCTGTTCTTTTCATTTTTCCTTGCATTAAAACAAATTTATTTTCAGGGTGTACTCCCCCTTCGGTCCTAAAATATAACTGAATCGTTTGATTTCGTTTGTTTAATTTTTTGTAGGGGGTAATGACGTTCGATCGCGCCTTTATACCAAGATCTTGATGGATTACCAGTTGCTGATGTCACCAAATCAAGATACTGATCCTGTTCACATCGAAATTGCATTATCAATACAGCATATCGGACAAGTGGTAGGAGTCGGTCATGTTTCTTTCTTTCTAAAAACAAATTAGTATCAGTTTTATTCTACTTGGAATTTTACTTTTGCAATTGGCATCGCAACGGATTTTAGCTTTCGAGCAATTACCTTGCAGTCGTTATGCACAATTTATGTTAAAATGTTTTCTATTCTTCCTTATGACATGTTGTCTGAGCATATCATATCATTTCATTATCATCTCGATTCCTTTTATCCAGTGTAATACACATTTCCCTCACCACCACCACCACCTCCTCCTCACGATCGCAAATACGTGGGAGGGGCATTCAGGGCATACACTTGACCGTTATAAAAAGAATAGGATACAATTATCTAACGCCCAACAGTAATACAAACTATATCCCCATGTTAATTGTTATTACACTTATGTATATACCCACTGGGGTGTGGATAGGGGAAGGGGGGGGGGGGGAGGGCGCACATAAAATGAGAATTAGAGAGCAAGTGTATGTAAGAGGGGTTTAAGGAGGAGAAAACTAGATGATAGACCTCTTCACGCATACCCTAATTAGTGGCCTTGTTAATTCGCACTTCATTCACCGAGTTTGATCGGTGACCCACCCGCCAATGCCTGTGCCTAATTAATCTCAACTGGCATCCCTGCTATAGTCTGCAAGCACAAACCCTGGTCAGTCGTAAAAGTGAGTCTGCACTATAAGACTAATAGACCATGTACTGTAGCTGCTCCTGACACAACCAGTAGGTAGCTGGGCTAGACTTCTCTCAAGGCACAATGATTTGTTGATAAAGTGTCAAATTAGGGTCTGTGCCTGCAGACTATCCCTGCTACGCCACAATGCCCCCCTCCATACACACACATCCTCTCTGCAAATATTTGTTTCCTATTTGAACTACATGACTGTGATTGATCACAACATTTCCGACAACATATTTATTATTATTTGTGTTCTAATTCCGTTCATTTTTTATTCTATTACAGAATGAAGCGGATGGCACTGTAAAAGTAACCTTTGGACTTTATCAGGTAATATTGACCCATTTAAGAAATCGAGGAAGTCATTTTTGCAAGACCTTTAAGACAATGAGAATGGAATCGTGTAGCGATTTGCATACAGTTTGCGCATCGATGCGTACTGGAGCAAGTCTGAATACAAATTAAGGGGGAGATCTAGGTGCGCTGCAAATGAAATACCCGTTTCACACTAAACCATACTTACAAATGAAAGCAATACGAGCCTAAAAAAATGCAAGAAATCACTAATTCAATAATGTTCAGCCGTGCACGGCCAACTTGTTTTAATGTACATATACCACTCTTTGCAGTGGCGTAATGAGCAAAAACGTTTTGGGGGGCTGACAAAAAAATCTGCATCACCCCCACTCTTACATGCAGGCCCCGCTGAACGTTTTTCAAAGTGGGGTCTAGGGGCAAAGTCCCGGCGGGGTCAAGGGGCGGATCCAGGAATTTCTTACCGGGGGGGGGGGGGGGCACACAATGGCATGGGGTGAAATGTATGTAAAACGATGAAGCGATCGAGCGAGGCTTTAGCGGCGAGGGAGAGGAGCGACCAAGCGGGGGTGGGTGGTGTAGAGGCCACCGATTACCGAAAAAACTAGCCACCAATCACCGACAAATATATTAATGCCAATGTCTACAAATTCAACCCTATAAACCCGGGGCCAGGAACTAAGTTATTTTTCAGTTTTCCCCCTCCCGCGCAAAGCGCGGAAGCTTTAACACTTCATTAAATTATGAGAGAAAGAAGACGAACCGTTGTACCGTTCCCGACTTTAAATTCTTGTTTCGCCCCTCCCGCGCGAAGCGCAGAAGGTACGACGTTTCATTTCATTATTAAAGAAAGACGATTCAATGTACCGTTCTCGACTATTAATCCTTGTCTGAATGCAGTTTTCACCCCTTCCCTAATATAAGTTGATTTGTATGAAAGCGGAAAAATAAGAAACAGAATGACAAAAATATCACTAAAATTTCTGTTTTTCTCCTAAGTTCCTTCTCCCTTGGGGCACTACTCAAAATATATTATAGATAGCATATTATTATACGTCCTCTAACAAGAATAGAACCTACTGAGCCAACATTTGTTTTTTTAATTAAATTTTAGTCATTTTATATGTTGGAACAGATGGGAAAGTATAGTCCGAGACTACATCACATTGACATTTACCGCTTCAGCCAAATTGAAGTGCCCATACGTTTAATGATTACAACTTTCAAAAATTAATTACTTTCTTATATTTAGTCAGCTTTAATTGAAGCTTTCATCAGTGTGCTTCTCTTATTGTTCTGCTTTCTTTTAGAGTAGTGGTCTATTTGGTTTGGATTTCCCTTTAAGCAGTACCGCGGTATAGCTGAACACAAAAATTATATATATATTAAAGGGTGGAATATACATTGAGGGCTTGCGACCTTCAACAAGCAAGATAAAAGACTGGCTGGTAAGTCTTCTGAAAGTCTACTTTTCACATTTTCCTCAGCACATCTATTTTTTTCTTCTGCCGTGTTTCGTTTATTAACCGGCCCCTGAATCACTGAACTGAACGGCCTTTGCAGACAACGGCGAAAATTCCGATAACCAGTCCGTCCCCGATTGACCCCCTCTCTTTCTCTCTCTTTTCGTCTGCCCTATGTATTCTCTGATTTCTCTCTTCTCCTCTTCCCCTCTTTACTCTCTTCCACTCTTCCACCCTCTCTGTTCATTCTTCCGTTCCCCCACTTCGTTCTTCCGCGCCCCCACCTCTCTTTCTCTCTCCTCTACTCATTGCTGTCATACAGAATTGGACAGACAAGTCCTTAGCCTGGAACCGGAGTGAATACAACATCTCGTCCCTCTTCCTACCGAGACACATCGTTTGGGTGCCTGACACCGTATTGCACAAGGGGTATGTAGTAATGATGATTATACATGTAATTGGATACCGTCGGCTGCCAGCAAGAAGGCCGTTACTGCCATTGTCAAACACCTAGATCTTACGGCATTCTTGCAGGTAGCCGACGATTATACATCAGGGTCGTCTTGCATGAAAAGTTGCATTTAATCGAAACTCAAAATATTAAACGCAAGGCCCAAATACGCGATCCTGATTGGTTGAAAATCAAGTTGCGTTTAATTTTTTGATGCAAGAGGGCCCAGGAGATGAGGAAGGGCCCAACGCAATTAAAACAATATTCTAGTTATGAAGAAAAAAGATTATATATCTTAAGTTCATGAGACAGAAAACAGTTTTATTTGCATGGATCCTCTAATACAATTACATTTATTTTATAACATTAAGATGAAAGCATTATGTCTCCTAAATTTAACCAAATACCGGTATGGGTTTTTTCTATGTAACTATATACAACAAATATTTTGATGGAGTTGAGCCTTTCTTACTGTCACATATTCCTTTATACTTGCAAGTATCTGCCATGATGGTGTGTCTATATTTGTACATATTGCTCTTTCATCAACCAGTTAATACAATATTATACCTACTAAAGCTCACCTGGTCACTTATAACCTATATGCATATATCATCTGTATGTAGCCATGCAGAAGGGCTCAGAAACGGTATTATGTATTAAGCACTACAATAATTCTTTTAAATAATTTTTTTTTCCTTCCCCCCTCCTTCCACAGGGTTCTTTATTTTCAAAAAAAATTCCATCATATACAGTATATCCATATATCATATACAAATAATTAAAGAAATAATTTCCATACATAATGGCTTAACACAGATAATAATCATCACAGCCGAAAACTTTTGTGGCAGATAAAAACAAACATTTATGACAAAATTAGTACTTTAAATATATAATAAAAAAATAAAATAAAAAAATATTATTAACTCTACATTAAAGTGTATACGTTTATGCCCTTCTGGCTACGAACAGGAGGATATTGACTTTCTCAGAGTTTGGTAAGTCATAACATCCCCATCATCAACATTGTTGTAAATGGCAAATAATAATGAAAACATTGTCTTACTGTTGTCAATCACTCAATGTTGATTTCTTCTCAATTCTTATGTTAGGTTGGTATAAAAACTGAAAATTCAAATGATATCCCAAGTACTGCTGTTTATGAAATAAAAACATTAGAGCATAGCTGGATTTGTTGATTTCTTCATAGCCTTTACTTATGGGCACTCAAACAGCGGACGAATTTTAAAGACATCGCAAAATGGCAAATGTTAATGAAAACATGTCATTGCTGTTTTTTTTTTTTTTTGTTCAATCTTTTCTTCAAGGTGCCAACACAGCAAAAAAAGTTTGAAAATATTTTTGGCAAAAGCATTTCCTTTACGGGCGTCAACAAAGAAATTAGTTTGAAGGACACTTTGAAATAGCAAATATTCATAAAATCAGGAGATTAATGTCTTCATAGGATGCTATTCAAACAAAGAAGAGTCCCAAAGAGGTTCCAAAATAGCAATTTTTTGGAGCACATGCTTTCATTATCATTCATGATTTCCTCTCAATCTTTCCTTCAGGGTAGCCTCACAGAAGACCAGTTCTAAAGACGTTCTTGTTTTCCTAGGTGGGCAGGTAGCCGACGTAAATATCATAGACGTCTCTTTGCCGTGTGTCAAACAAAAGTCCAAACCAAAAAGTAAAGTAAGCGGCGATGGATCAAATGAGGAACTTAAAGGCAAGACAAGGAGGGTGTGTACGTTGACATTGGGGTGCGCACTGGAGTCTCATTCCACCATCTTGTACGAGGCCAAACCTCCCGATGTCACTGCTCTAGGAGACGGGAGGGACGACTGGCAGCTGGACACGGTGTACCCTTACGAGATGATGCAATCCAGACCGAGCCCCCATGACCCGATGGCGGTGGCTGTTTTCGATTTTATCCTGATCAAGAACACCACGCTAATGGACACCCCTACTCAGCTAGTGGCACCATCTATTATGACATCCCTTGTGGCACTGGGCGTGTTCTTCCTCCCACCCATGGCGGGGGAGAGGATTCTCATGGTGGGGGTGGCTTTCCTCGGACAACTGACCCTCGCAGGATTCAGCGTCCTTGCTCAGATCCAGTCCAACGAACCTGGAACATTATACAACTTCATGCTCTTTTCAACAGTTTACATCTTCCTCATCATCGTAACTGTATTGTCAATGTTCTTTGTTTGCCCGCTACTGAAGAGATTGAGATTTCAAAACGTAGAGGACAATACCGAAGAAGACGGGGCACGGTTGTTGACCTTCACTGTAAGTTTTTTCAATATTTCTTTTTTCATACTTAGGGTCAGAGCCCAAAGCCATACCATCACATTGAAAACAGAATGTTTGCAGGATTTATTTTCATGACAAAAAACAAACATATATATGAATATCATCTTCAACGAACAATTAGAGAACAAAATTAGAAATAATAATCATTTTCTCGCTATTGCAAAGTATGAAGCAGTGTGATGGAATTTCTATTCCATCCTTGAAATTATTGCTTATGAAGCTCTGTTGCCCTAGCAATGGAATTGTTATCATTCTGATTTTCATGATGGCATTGCTCATCGATGTAAAGATGATGAATACAGAATGATTTAAAAGTATGACAAATTTTTTCTCTACTTCAAACTGATCCTGTGGCCCATTGACTACTTTTTGGATTGCCCCTTTCTTGGAGACTTAACTCTTATCCTGCCACCGGGTTAGTCCCTGCAGTGCCAAGCCTCAAATCCCTGCAGCGCCAAGTTTATAACGAGATAATCGGATTAACGCGACGGTACTATCAATAGCGCGTGCAAAACATAGGCACAGTTCAATGGGCATGAACAATAAATGCTAGACTATTACATATGCGTGCAATCATGCAAGAAGCAGAGAAGCAGTAGCTTGCTGAGGTGTACATGGCACTATAACAATAGCGTGCATGCATCCTTATGGCAGGCTACGAGTTAAAGCAATACACATTTAACGACTAGATTATTCATACCCTTACCAAGCTTTGTAATTTTTTAAGTATGTGAAAATATATTTGTCCAGATTCTTCTTTTTGAGAACATGTCACATAAAAGCTTACATCTAAAAGTTTTCAAACATGGCTCTAATTTAAACTGTCTATCTATTTCTCGAGTTGCAAAAAAAAAAAAATCCACAATTTATAAGGGGTATGAATAATTTAGTTGTTAATGAATATCCCACTTTCCCATGAAATTTGCAAAACCATTAATGAAATCTTATCACTCAAGCTTTACGTAAGTCAGTGAATATCATTAATATATCATATCGTATCTGTTTGGTTCCAGAAGGACGTTAACTACCGGTATGTGAGTTAACGCCCTTTTGGTTTCAAACAGACATCATATAAAGAGAGAAAATTGGGAGAATATTGCTTGCATTAGTGTGGTTGGATTTTGAAACCTGGGAGCTACCAATTTACAGCTAAGTATTTCCTTAATTTGATGTACTTGTGTGCTAATAATTTCCATGACACATAGAGATTTGTAATATCTTTGAATTTCTCTTACCTTACCTCGTTATTCTTCTCTTTTGATCACACAAAATGTCTCCTCAACCTTTTCACTACAGAATTCACAAATTATGACAGGGAGCCCTATGTCTGCGCACCTAAAATTAGACTTGAAATCAACAAGATTTTTCTTTTTCCCTAATACCTACCGGTACTCCGATATTATTTAAAAAAGTAAGGGTGCAAATAAGTTCTTTAAAATTCAGGCAAGGACAATGTTATTTCACAAGAAAAGGCGGAGGTATCAATTTTATATTGCAAACACAAAGTTTCCCATGTCTGAGCCGTCGTTCACTTTACACTCAGTTCTACATTTTTTACGTGAAAGATGCTTTCGAGGCGCATGAATAAAAGTGCTGAAATTAGATATTTCTCACTTTATTATCACTCGTTTTTTTCCAATGAATACTTATCGGTGTGATACAGACGAAATTTTTTGTGTTGGTTGCATGTTTTATCAGAATACTGCATATTACACGTATGCACAGACTAGGGCTCTCTAGCCATAACATAAAAACCACCTGGTTCTTGTACGCCCTATCTCGCCCTATCACTCTCTCTCTCTTTCTCTCTCTCACTGTCTCTCCTTAGTATCATATTCTTATAACCATCTGTTACATCATTCTGTTTTTTTGTGCAACAGGAAAAGAAATTTGTTTCAGCAATACCAGATGCTATTATGTTCACCATCTTCATCACATTATACATCATCGGCATGGTAACTATACTCTTCACTTGAAAGATGTGCTACATGTATCCTGGAAAATTGGTGAGATCTGGAGGTACTACGTCACGTATGAGAGACTGTTTGATGTACTATGGAAGTATTCCCGATGATGCAGATTGCACAATGTTTTCAATATGTGTGCTCTAAGTGAATGAAAATGAAATAAAATCTGCATATCGCAAATCCTGGAAAAGGATGTGAGAGAGGGAGGAAGGGACAAAGAGAGAGAGAGAGAGAGAGAGAGAGATGGAGGGTGATTACTGATTATTGAAATACTATACCGAGCCATTACAATTATTATAACAGCTAGCATGTTTTTATTGCAGTTACACTGTATGTTGTTGAGACGTATACAGTGTATATACGAAATAAATGTACATTACAATTTTGAATGTTAATAAACAAATTTCATACTACATGTTTAATTATGTGAATATGCAGTTATGACAACACCAATGTTAAAGACAGTGTTGGCTATGGTTTCATGTTGAAGGCTAGTTCAAACAAGACGCAGTACGCTGCCTCCTCAACAAATAGCTAACGTAAATCTCTGTGTATAAGACTCACTTTTTTTCCGCCGGAAAAATTCGAAAGTCAGGGGTGTGTCTTATACATAGGCACAAGATATTTTGAGTCCTCAAAATGCTACTTTTCAGTGGTGTACGACCATCTCTGTGTCTCAACATAATTTGAATAAAGAATACCGCAGGGAAAAAATGTATATTTATTTTACGGGGGCTACTTATCAACCTTGCCTGCATGAAAATAACATTCTAAAATTTGTTTTGCATTGAACTCTATGCAAATTTAAGGGGGCTCTTTTCGGATTTTGGGGGGCTTTTTGGGGCATTTTTGGGGCATTTTTGGGGCATTTTGGGGGCTATTTTGCCGAGAGCCCCATGTATTTTTTTCACTTGAATACCGGTACCATTTGAAGATATCCTACATGTACGTTCCTAATTTGAAGGGAAGAGACTTTATATTTTTTTCATAAGTGTTGATTTATGCCTCGATCTCCACCTGGCACTGCGCTGGGCGACGCTCACCCGTGCCCGGGAAAGCTCTGGTGTGGCACCACGAGTAAAAATGTCTCCCAGCTCAGGCTTAAATGTGTAGTAAACAGTAATGAAATTGTTACAGACAGAATCTTAAAGGGACTTGGTAACATTTTTCGAGATGAGAGAAAATGGTGCTAAGGTCATGACTTCAATGCTAAAATCTACAATTAAAGATAATCTGATAGTTTAGGTGAAAACAGACCTTTATTAAAGATAACAAGTTGGAAAAACTATTATCATATTTTAATTAAATTTCATGTCAATGTTAATCGACACAAAGCAATGAATTGGCTCTAAATACCTTTATAAGCCTGTTTTATGTCTTATTTTCATTGAAAAACAGTTGCAAAAATTCAAAAATGAGTTGGGAGAATTTACTGTTGGAAGGTGTTGCACAGTGATGCTTTCAAAGAAGAAACCATAAATATCTTTGTGGTTTGAGAATTTTTTTCAGGATTTCTTGCATTTTAAAGGGTTAATACAGTAGAAGGAATATAATAAGTAAAATTTCAAACAAAAATTATGCAGCTTTTTCATCAACCTTCAACAATGTTACCGGTTCACTTTAATATTGCACTTTTACATACCGTATGTAATCATTCTACCAAAACCTAATACCATGAACAATCGATTCTTGTAATTTTCCTTTGAGAAATAATAGTGCATGCTACAAATGTCTGGTAGTTTTTAAGAAGATTGGTTTTCATCCACTTCGTATCTTCCTTGTAAACGTGTGTAAGATTAACTTGATGCTACATGTATAAATATTGTTTACAGCTATTTCTATTTCAGTGGTTTATAAACAACATACATAAATTTATGACTAAGATATTTTAAAGCAAAATGATGAATAATTTCTATGAAATAATACATGATGAAGTTGATGATAATGAGTGTAGTGAATCAATTGCACAGAAGGGGTGAAAGGAAGGCACTTCAAAAGAGTAACAGGCCTTCAAAATGAGTTTCATCATAAACACAATCATTTGCACATATTTATATTCTTTTTGTTAAAGTGAAATAAGATTACAAATCAGAGCATTCTGTTCTCCTTTATCAGACCCATTGAAAAAAAAAACAAGGCCATTTACAGTACTTCTCATTTTCAAATGGCAAAATATATATCATAATGGAATCTACATGTATTTGTTACAAAAGGTGCAAATAGGTTGGCTCATATGCAATAATCATATCTGCTATTGAATAAGTATTGATGTTTTGATATCTAGATTGAATAACCGTAACAGCTTTTTAGAGTTTTGCTGCTAGAACAATGCTTTTTGAATTTTGACATACATGTATGTCAATCGGTGTTGTATGTTAAAAATAAAGTTTTTAAAGGGATAGTTGAGTTCTGTCGCAGAGAGCGCTACACAAAATCATTTTTTTGTGAATTAATGAAAAACTGAGTGTCAAATTTGAAAGAACATACAATTTAAACGACAAAATCATATTTTTTGGATCAAAAATCGATTCAGAGACGGCTGAATGAATATAACGATTTCTAATACTTGTGTACCACCACAAATATTAGATAATTTGAAAAAGCTGTTGAAAACACGAAATAGCGCCTTTTACGTTGTATTTCAGCAAATGCTGATGTTGGCTTTTTTGTTGGCATTTTTGTGTTGGTTATATTACCCACAACCAGTCTATGTATCGTTATTTTTAAGTAAAAATTAATTACCGGTCACCATATTTTTTTTAAAGTGGAGCTGAATTGATATGATTGTATTGGCTAAATTTCACACATTTTGGGGTCTAAAATTACCTTCATAGCAATTTTAGGTTCTAAAAGGGCACTATAAATGTCATAGATAAGAGCTATAACGATGCACTTTGAAGGCATTTGGGGTCTGAAAACAGAACTCAACTATCCCTTTAAGATGATATCTCATTTGCACTTGCATATTCATAATTCATAGTACATAATGCTTAAGATAGAAGACAGATATACAGGCATTCATGCTAAAGAACACTGAAAGCCATTCCTATGTTATGAGAACTTTGTTCATATTAAAGTGAAATATGGCTGAATTATGCATAAATCTATGGAAAATTCTGGAAAATTCAATATTTTTCAAGCAATAAAAAATCCTGGTTACCCTAATAGGCATTGTCTATTTTGTTTTTCTTTGATTCAAAGCGTATTTCTAAATGCACATCTTTAAAAAAAAGGAGAAGACGGGCAAAAAAACAAAAAACGTAATCAGCTACACCTCTTACTTTTTCATAAAGAAATACCTCACCCAACAATGTGTTTTCTTGCATATCTTATTGTCAATAATATTTTGGAATGATTTCTGCATCATAGCGTCCAAACAGTTGTATTAGTACCTTGTACCTGTTCATGGAGCCCAGTGAATCCTCCTCAGAAAATGCAGTTCATTTGTTGGGAGCCTTGTACGGTTTGATCTTGTGACTCTCTATTCCGAAGTCTCTATGTCCTTCTCTGTAGATTAGTAAATAGAAGATGAGAAAAAAAAAAAATGAAGAGAAAGAATCATGCTATCATTGCTATGGTACTGTAGAGCAAGTTAAATATATTCCAGCATAAATGTAATCCCTTCTTTGTCGTGGGTGGCAATAATTTTTATATTTGTTAGGACAAGAGAAAGTTTTTCTTCCTAAAGAGGCATAAGAGGAAAAACAAGAAGAATTTTCTATATACGTATAGAAATGCACTTTACAATGATGTTATTAACAGAACAAGTGAGTTTTTACATGTTTTATGCCTAATGTAATAATGAAACAGAGCATTAAAAGTCAACATGTACCCCTCCAAAGTTCACTATGATACAATTGTTCAAATCTTGGCACAGAAGAGATGAAGTACTCTGCGGGATCACAGGAACAATGGATGTCAGATTACAGCTGTTCTATCGACACTATAATGCCTTTTGGGCATTTGCACCTGTCTCAACATATGTTCTCAACCAATATTTCTTAAAGGTAAAGACCAGTTTTGGAAATGCCCCCCTCTCAAAAAATGAAATGGAAGCTCTTATTACCAATCATGTGAAAGAATATGTTTGACCAATACGTGATCATACAAATTTGCCGAGAAACCGTCTACTAATTGATATATTTGGTCAATTAGTTTATCTATTGGGATGTGATAGATATTACGCACGTGTTGTGCACGTGTGCGTAGTCCCATATACATCTTTCTGTGTACAGTGCTTGTAACTTCACCAAGACTGGGCCAAGTTTCTTATGATTTTGATGATTCCAGAACCTTGCGGTACACATCAATACTTATATGCTAGATGATCAACCTTTTCCGATCCATTCTACAATGTTTATTTCACAATGCTATCGCATGACCATAACTGGCCTTTATCTTTAAAGTCAGGTTTGGAAAGAAAAACAAAAAGGTGGGGGGGGGGGGGAATAATGCTTCATCAAAATTATTAAAGTGACACTTGCTCCACAGTGCAATATATACATAATATGGCTTGTGTTGTGCTTAACGCCAACATTTATTCCATCCAATATGATACCGACTGTGTTCTGTCGATGACCAAATTTGATTCCTCATAATATTTTGAAAGTGAAACGACTACCACAGGCACGGAAAATTTGAAAATCGCGCCGGCCGAAAAATTGCTCAGTGAGGGGGGGGGGGGGGGGGGGGGGGGGGGGGGGGTAAAAAGGTAAATATCATTTTTTTTTCCCAGGGATCCGCTACTGGACTACCAGCCCAATCAGCTAACTGTCACTGGTATAACGTTTTCCATCGCATGACCCTAACTGGCCTTTATCTTTAAAGTCAGGTTTGGAAAGAAAAACAAAAAGGAGGGGGGGGGGGGAATAATGCTTCATCAAAATTATTAAAGTGACACTTGCTCCACAGTGTAATATATACATAATATGGCTTGTGTTGTGCTTAATGACAACATTTATTCCATCCAATATGATACTGACTGTTTGAAAGTGAAACAACTACCACAGGCACGGAAAATTTGAAAATCGCGCCGGCTGAAAAATTGCTCAGTGGGGGGGGGGTAAAAAGGTAAAAATCATTATTATTATTATTATAAAACTTCTGTTTGCAAATCCGTCAATGTAATCACTCTTTTCAATATTCTGCGAGACAGATCCTTTCATAATACACTTACATGACCTGTTCTCAACTTTATCTTTAAAGGTAATACAAAGTTTTGGTATGGGGTCATGAATTTGGTTCAAATTAACATATTGGAAGCATATGTGAGCCTACAATATGCAGTGATCGTTGTCGCAGTTGAAATCGAGTCTAAAGTTAAGAAATTGTCAATAATAAACTCTTTATGTTGTATCGCTCCCTCTCAAGGTCAAGATATTAATTAAGCTACAAAAAAATGTTTCTGGACTAAAATTGACCGATTTGCTATTCCCGTTTGGAAATTATATATCAGAACTACATATCTTGTGATTTTCATGGTTGCAGCTACCATTGTACGGCCGTAGGCGCAATTTGAAATTTATCAAAACATACCGGGAGCACCGGTAAATTTTTATATTCAAGTTTTCTCAAAAGCAGAAGTGTTTTAGGGGCTAAATTTTTTTTAGTGCCTTTAATACATCCACAGGGGCATCCAAATATATCAAAATTGTAAAGAATCACTATCCACCCAATTTTCGAAATATCCCAAAACTTTGTATTACCTTTAAAGCATAATCCCCTGTTTGCTTACTTACAGGCATACACATGCTTTCTTAGGAGTTGGGTAAAAACAAAATAACAAACAAACTATTACCTGAAGCATCTCTTACAGTAGAGATCATTATCACAGTCCACACATCTCAGTACTGCATCTTCGTTACATATGCAACACCATGCCAGTTCATCAGGGTCAGTTTGGGGTCGTGGAGGGTCATACTTGAGGTCATCCACGTGAGGCTTCTCTGAAATCTGCTCCCATGATGATATGGGTTCAAAGAAATCAGAAACAGATTATCAAATAACTAGATGGACCTTCAGTCGAAAATGATGCCTCCACCATTGAGCGATTTTACCAACCAAAACAGAAGCAATTTTTAAAGTTCAACTTCGATTGTAAACCATTAACAGGTTCTCAGAATATCGTGATTACAAGCTTTTTATCATATACATGTATGACCCTTTGACCTCATGACCCTAAAATCTAATCAATTCATTGGCTCTGCGAGATACATACATCTTCTGAGTTTGATAGTAATTAATCTGTCAGTTCTAATGAGAATGCGTTCACAAGCTATTTTTGCATACATGAGCCCCATGACCTTTGACCTCATGACCCCAGAATCTACTCAGTTCATTGGCTCTGCAAGATACATACATGATCTAAGTTTTGCATACATAATGAGCCCTATGACCTTTGACCCTAAAAATCTAATCAGTTCATCGGCTCTGCAAGTAACATACATGACCTAAGTTTGGCAGGATTCCATCAATCGGTTCTTGAGATAACGCGATCAAGAGCTGTTTTTGCATACATAATGAGCCCTGTGACCTTTGACCTTGTGACCCCAAAATCTAATCAGTTCATTGGCTTTGCAAGATACATACATGATATAAGTTTGGCAGAAATCCATTGATCGCTTCTTGAGATAACGCGATCACAAGCTGTTTTTGCATACATAATGAGCCCTGTGACCTTTGACCTTGTGACCCCAAAATCGATTCAATTCATTGGCTCTGCAAGATACACACATGACCAAAATTTGTTAGGAATCCATTAATCGATTCTTCAGATAACGCGATCACAAGAACGGGACGGACTTACGGACGGACGGACAACCCAACAACATAATGCCTCCGGCTACTTCGTAACGGAGGCATAAAAATTGATACTGGGTAAAATTTTCAGTCAAATGAAAGTTTTGGAAAGATTAAAGAGTGAACATATTGATATGTCTATAATTATAATTATAATTATAATACTATGCCCACATTAGCACAGGATATATTTGTAGGAAATTAAGGTTAATGTTTATTTGGTTTTGAAGTGATGGGTGCACATCTTGAGCTATAAAACGGAACAGCCTCATGATGGCCATTTTCGAAATTAAAAAATGAGGAGTTGCACTTAACGAAATATAATTTTAAGGATACATTCAAAAGGAAACAATGAATATATTGATCACTGAAGGTGGAGGGAGAGAAATGGAATCTGATATTATATACTCACTGTGTTGGTTGTCGGTTTAGGCTGCAATTTTGTGCCGGTTGGAACTTGGAAGCCATCAGCAGCCACTCTGTCATCTAGCTTATCTTCCTCTAAAAGCTACCATGGTGAGAGAAAAAGAAGAAGAAAACAATAAATTTCAAATTTTCATAATATGTTCTGACAAAAGCATACTTAAATCAGTGGTTTTAACTCTTTCATATGCTACCATTGGACGACATAAAAGTGTTGTGATGAAGTCAGTGATTCACAATCACATGGTAGAGGTGTCGTGGTCGAGTGTATATGTCACCGGACTGTGGATCACAAGGTCCGCGGTTCAAGTCCCGCCGCGGCACTAATGTCCTTTGGCAAGACATTGATCTACATTTGCCACTCTCCACCTAGGTGTTAAAATGGGTACCCGGTAGGATGCGAAAGCTAATGTGGTTCGATTAGCAATGGCGCTTGTAAAATGGCAACTGGCTGGAATGCTCCCCAGGGAGTGGAGAATGTGCATACCTTGTGTGCGGGTAAGCCTGAATCCGATGATCGGGGTAATAATATGTTCTGCGCCTAGAAACAAAGTATTAGGCGCATTATTAATGTGAGCTATTATTATTATTATATGGTCCAAAATACCTTTTAATTCTAGGGGGATTCCTGCAATGTGTTGTGTATGTCATATTACATTTATCTATTGATGTATTTCATCCAAAGTTGAAGATCTTGTGATATAGAGTGAAGAAGTGTGACGTCATCAAAAATCTATTTTTAGAATTTCTCAATTTTTTCTTCATATTCCGAAAGAACACCAAAAATAATGTTCAAATGTCGAAAACCAATTGAATATGTTAAGTATTGGCTGAGATATGACCATCTGAATGAATTTATGTCCCATCGGAACCCAGTGTTATATGCTCTGGCTCCTAATGGTTAGGAGCCAGAGAATATAACACCGAGTTCCTATAGGACATATATTCATTCAGATGGTCATATCTCAGCCAAAACTTAACATATTCTATTGGTTTTCGACATTTGGACATTATTTTTGATGTTCTTTCGGAATATGAAGAAAAAATTGAGAAATTCTAAAAAATAGATTTTTGATGACGTCACACTTCCCCACTCTATTATTTACATTATCATTATCACTACCAACAGATTTTCATTTTTGGATGAAATTAATGGGGAAAAAGGGGGAAATTGTTTTATGAGCTACATTGCATGGAATCAGCCTTGCCCCAAAATTAATACCAGATTTAATAGTGTCCGTCTTAAGAAGTTTACATTTTAGAACCACATTTACATGTAAATACAAAACTGTTCATTGTGGTAACTTGTTGCATTACTTTGAGAGTAAAAGACCAGGGGAGTGGAGCAACGTGAGGGCTTCCAAGCTTTTAATGGCCAGCAAATGAGAGTTAAAGGTAATCTTGTGTTCATGCAATAACACAAAAATAAATTCTACCAGAATAACACACACACACACACAAAAAAAATGTTCATGATTTTAAAAAAAAGGTTCAAGCTAAATTTGTTAGTGTGCTGTACATTTGAGACAAGACAGCAGACATTTTGGTAATAGGTACAAGGCATCAAATACATGAAATAAATGTTTTTGAATTGATTCAAATAGGTGAAATGTTTCTAGAGACTCTAAACTGGCATTCTGAAGAGGAAAAAGCTGATGTGATGATGATGGTGTATTTTTTTTTCTTTTCAGTGGCTTTTGGCCGTCTTTTGAAAATTGAACGGAGTGAATAGTGAATGCTTTAAATTTGTCCCTGTGAGGATACCATACCTGCTGGATGAGTCTCTGTGAAGCCTTCTCTTCATCCTCATCACTATCGTCATTGAGGTCAAGATTTCCTACAAGTCAGGAAAGAAATTTAGAACTTCAGTTGATCACATTTTCAATTTCAAAGCTGTTATGAACAAACATTTTTAGGTATTCACTGAATGAAGTACATGGATTTCAAAGTCAAAATCGTCTATTTGGTAACACAATAAGACAAGGTTTATTTATCAGTCTCTAGCAAACACAAAATAAATTTGTTTTGAACAATTGGTTGCAATTAAAAGAGCTGAAAACGATACAGGCCTACTAATAACATGATCCTTGGTAAGGCACGGGACACCCAATGACCAAATATACCTTAGACTTGCCCTCTAATAAACATTCAAGAGCTAACCTGTATTTTCTACCGGCTGTACACCCTGGAGGTGAGCCAGTCTCCCTGCAATGTCTGCATCTTTCTCCGCCCCTCTCTTGGTGGCCTCCTCGTCCAGCTGAAGCTCGGCCCTCGCCGCCTCCATCATCCTGTTGGCCTCCTCTGCCAGTCTCCTTGCCTCTCTCTCGTCCCCCTCGTCCCTGCCACGCCCTCCTGGCGGGCGATGGTCGTTATCACCGGAAGGCTGTTCTGTGTTGCTAGAAGACCCCCCTGTAAATACATGTACAAGTAAGTCTGTGAAGAATCGCACAAAACATTTTACGGCTTGTAAAACACACGATGCGGTAAACCGTGGCTTTTCTTCTTTAACATTTGGTTTGCTTTCTGTGACTCTCTGCACCGTCACTCATTTGCCATACATGTATGTTTACGCAAAATAATAGGCACCAATTGAGGGAAGGAGTGCTTTGCCAAGAGCAGTATGATTCCAATTGCATTTCATCTTAACTTTATGTTTATTTTGGGATAGGAAGGATAAGTTTATATTAAATATTTATTTGAAGCTCTTAATTATAACTAGTCTCTACTTTCTTTTTAGGCTAAGTGTTTATATAATTTTCAGGTTTCAGTAAATCATTTTGCATCATCATCATATTCAATAAGACACTATCATGGTCACCTTTTTTCTACAAGATAATGTGTGGTGCGTTTCTGGTACTACAGGGATGACCTGTAGCCTAAATTTGGCACTCCTTTTACAGAACAAATATCCACAGATTGAACAGATGATAAAAAACACTATGAGGACATATTCATCCTATTTCATTCCACTTTCTTTTCTTACCATGATTTAAAGTCTATATGTTCTCACCCATTAGTTTCTTGGCATCTTCTGTGAGTTGTTTCAGGTCCTCCTCACTTGGAAGGAGTGGATCAGCATATGGCCCTGGCTGAAAGCCTGATGAAGCTGATCTAGCAGCAGCTGGGTCTGACAATCACACAAGCATACCATCATCTTATATGCGAGTCAAGATAAATGATATATATATATATATATATAAGCATTCCATTTCTTTCACTGTTACCACACTTACCTTCTTCGGACAGAATAATGTTAAAGGGGCAAGTTCCCTGTATTCCAGAGGGCGTTCAAAATACGTACGTGCTGGCGGACGGTGCTATAGCTGCCTATTGACACCAACAGAATACGGCTTTTACGCAGATGGCATGTTCCGATAACTACACTGGCGGGAACGTGCCCCTTTAACTGGAGGCCTTGTGTGTAGAAGAGTCCACTCTATGCATGTTTAATAATAAGCTACACTTTTCGCAGTATAGGGTGTAAACTCAGTGTTTAGTGTGGTGCCTGCATTCAGAAAATGACAATTTACATACAGATCTTTGTGACAGGCTGCATAGCTCTTCGAAGATTAACAGTAAAAGAAGAAGACGTCACAGATTCTAGTTACTCACCATTGGGTGTGACATCATTGCCTTCTAATCTTGCATCTAAGGCAACCTCTTCTGTCATCTGATCCAGAAGGTCGTCGTACTGCTCCTCCATTGTCTTCTCTGGTTGTGGCAAAACCTTAAATCAGTCAAAACAAGTTGGACATAGGGACAAATATTTATTAAAATTTATAAAGAGTATTATTTCTTTTGATATGTGAAGTGAGTGATGCACACTTTTTCCTTCAAAAACTTCTGTATATGAATTGATCATGAAAATCCCAACTATGATCAATGATCTCATATCAAAATCAGACTAAATTTGGCCAGTTTTGTTCAAACTTTCATTGATGAGGATATATAGTCATTAAAGATTATTGAGTTTAAAGAGTGTAAGTTTTTTGATATCTGAAAACTAGTGATAAATATAAAGGCATATCTTCTAAAATACCAACATTTTTCCTTCAGAAGCTACTCTATATGAATTGATAACATTATTCCTGATGGTTTAGTGATGTCAAATATTAAAGGAACTTTAACTCTGGCCTCTTTTTAAAAAAAAAATTGTCATCAATACAGGGAATAATTTTCCTCAAATTTTTTGATTAGCAATTTCAGCCGATGGATAAATATTTCAAATGAAACTCTGTACATTTCTATGGAAGAAAATTGCTACACAAAAGATATTTTGTATAGCAGTCATGCAAAAATGCATAGCAAATTGCGATGCGATACCAGGAAAATTATTCCCTGCAATATCTTTCTCTGATTTTCTGATTTTCTTCAGAGCAACTTGATATCCCTTGAGAATCCTAATGCAAAACATGCACAGTATAGACCTGGCACAAAAGACCCCAAACATTCATAGGCTTTTAAAACATGGAGAGATGCCAAATTGTGTATTTCGGAAGAACCTCTGATAATTGAGGTGCTTCCCCCTGTCTCATGGCATGCAATGTTGGTGCCTGGTCGTGCAATAATTTGTCCATGATAATTTTCTTCAATAACCAAAGTTTTAACTTCTAACTCAACACTGGACCTATACCTAACCCTAACCTTAACCCTATGGCAACAATAATCCTAAACTTCTGATCAAATAAACTCTGGAGCAAGGGTTGCCCAAGCAATTGTCAGATCACCTTGGTGCATTAGTGAATAATGATTACATAACATTCTTGAGCCTGTATCCATGTTTATCACAGCGGGTTTTGCAATTTGTTACAAGCAACATTCCTATACTAATGCGCAGATTGTGTCTACAAACCGGCTTATTGCTTCTTAAAACTACATTTTATTTTATTTTCCGCATGCAGCTCATGCAAACTCGCATCTCTACAATAAAGTTGAACATGTACATACAGTCTGTTTAGTTGTTTCTGAAGATGGCTGAAGTCCTTGTAGTTTTCGAAGCCTTTCCTCAATCTCACTCTGTGGTAGAGCAGGTTCTGAAGAAGATTGGAGAAAAACAAATCAAATAATCAAATACAAAATCAGATATTATCAGACTGCAAAAATAATGGAAACAAATATCTGGAGAGACCTGGGGGTCTGAGCTGACACCAAATGATAAATAATAATAATAAAGATTATCATAAGATACAAATTGAAGTGTCTCTGCAGAGCTGCAGGTAATGATGGAAGTCTTCTGACCTCAGTGTTCTACAATAAAAAATCTTTCTCTTATAGAAAATTCAAACTAAACATTTTTGAATAAGAAATTAAGACAGGATTCTACAACCCTTTAAATAATTAACTGTATCCTCCTCCTCCTCCTCCTCCTCCCCCTCCCCCTCCCCCTCCTCCTCCTCCTCCCCTCCCCCTCCCCCTCCCCCTCCCCCTCCCCCCCTCCTCCTCCTCCTCCTCCTCCTCCTCTCCTCCTCCTCCTCCTCCTCCTCCTCCTCCTCCTCCTCCTCTTCTTCTTCTATTGTTTTCCTTCTTATGTACCTTCTTATAATCATAATCATTATAATATAACCCAGTGGTTCAATAATTCAGTCAATTCAGTTTTTTCTCCTAATACTACTCTTTAAAGGTAATACAAAGCTTTGGTATGGGATCATGAATTTGGTTCAAATGAACATATTGGAAGCATATGCGATCCTACAATATTCAGTAATCGTCGTGGTTGAAATTGAGTCTAAAGTTATGAAATTGTAAAAAATACGCTCTTTATGTTGTGTAGCTCCCTTTCAAGGTCAAGATATTAATGAAGCTATAAAACAATGTTTCTTGACTAAAATGGACGGATTATCTATTCTCGTTTGGAAATTACATATCACAAAGTTATTCTGAGATTTTCATGGTCGCAGCTACCATTGTACTGCCGTAGGTGCTATTTGTAATTTATCAAATTTGTCAAAACATATTTACCCTTACTGTGTTAATGCCTTTAAAAAACATGTTTCACCAACAAATAAACAGAAGAAAACATTTCTCTTTCCTTTTTTTATCAGTTGACTTTTTGATAAAGTTTTCCAAGATATTCTCACAAACCATGAAACAGTTTTGAATTTCAAGAAGAAAGACCTCCTTTTTTGTCCAAAAAACATATCAATACCAACATGTGACCAGTTTAACTCAAATATTACCTGTAATACAGACTTTCAGTAATATGAATAATATTTTCCATGGCTAAACCGACAGCATTTCTTAATAGTTGAACTTACTTTCTTTCTTCTTTCGATCCTCCTGAAGCCTTTCCAACCTTATAGCAATGTCTCTGTCCTGTGGCGCTAGGTTTTTGTACTTTGCTGCTTGACTGCCCGACGGAGCATCTGATTTTCGTGATGGTCCTTGCTGTCCTGCGGAGGACTGCTTTCCTTGCTCCTTCTGGTGCAAAGCAGCCACTCTCCTGTTGAGAGGTATGACAAATAATCAAGTGGGAAAAGAGAGGGGTGCTTGAACATGCCCACATCTTGGGCAATAATTGAAAAAGAACTAGGACTGGGCCAGAACTTCTAGAAGGATTCACCAAGCTATCTGGATCAAAAGAATATCTTACAAAAGGAAAAGAAACAGGAGCTCATATTAGTTGTCTGGCATTTATGATGCAGCAAAAGATGCCATTTGGGGCTTTTGTGTGCAAGTACACATGTGAGAGAGGCGTCTGTTATGTATAGACATCGAAACAGGTAAACAAATTCTGGATGCGCCAGAGAATTTATTGAAACAAAAGGTGTTTCACTATCTCTGTATGTTTCATATTAATGCCTGCACAAAAGTTTACTTGGAGCTAGCATGCATGCATAGAAGTGTATGAGTGTATCTAAACTTGCAATATCTCTAGGCCTATAGAGAAGAACTATTTGATGCTGATATTTTGAATATAGAATGTACCTCAATGTGGTCTGCCATAAATAGATGACCAATCACCATAACAAATTTTGCTCTGTATTTGGTTCTGAAATTCAAGACCATAAAAAAACCCAAGTAATTAATGTCTGATTTCCATGCTAAAATAACTTTGAGGTGATTACCTAATGAATGGTACTACCGGTACACAAAATATTATATATCAAGTTCTTTAACATATCTGACAAAACTATTATAATTATGGCAGCCACTAGATCAAATTATGACTTCCTTTAAAGTGACTCGGTAACATTGTAGAAGATTGATGAAAAAACTGTAATTTTTGTATGAAATGTTATTTATTATATTCCTTTTATCGTACTTACCCTCTAACATGCAAACAATTCTTTAAAATTCTCAAATCACAAAGATATTTATGGTTTTCTTTGAAGGCGTCACTCTGCGTCACCCTCTAACAGTAAGTTCTCCCAACCATTTCGATTTTCCCAACCGTTAAAAAAAAAAAAAGACACAAGACAGGCTTTTAAAAATCTTTCAACATTTAAATGTCTAGAATGGTACAGGTATATAGAGCCAATTCATCGCTTTGTGACGATTTACAGTCACCTTAAATGTAATTAAATGGTAATATTATTGGGAGAATTCAGGAATCGATCAGATCAGTTACCCTGAATTTTTATCATTAATAATGGTCCGTTTTCACTCAAACTTTCAGATTATCTTTAATTGTACATCTAGCATTGAAGTCGCTACCTCAGCACCGTTTTCTCTCATCTGAACAATGTTACCAAGTCCATCTAAGCAGAAGCCTGAAAAAAACCTGTCATACCTCTGTTCTACTTCCGACATCAAAGTTTAATGTCAGAATAAGGTCATGTTAGAACATGCAAGGTCATTTACATTGTATGGTCATTGGAAGATGTGGGTTATCTATCACTCACTTCTTGAAATTCTCTGGTGGAGAGTATTTGCCTTCATTCTGCTTGTCTGACTTGGGTTGGTGCAGGATCTTGTAGCAGTCAGTACATACATTGTGTTGCTTTTTGGGATCCTTGCCCGGAAGTGATGTTTTGTGAGGAAGGCAGGTTTTACAATACGCATGACCGCACTTATGGCAAGAATGCTGAAATGAAATGAAATGAAATGTTTGAGCATGAGTTTAGTGGCTAAATTCATCCAAGGCATATGACATTCATTGATTTGAAGGTAAAGACCAGTTTTGGAAACACCCCCTCTTACAAAATGAAATGGAAGCTCTTATTACCAATACGTGATCATACAAATTTTGCCGAGAAACCGCCTACTAATATATATTTGGTAAATTATTATATCTATTTGGACCTGATAGATATAATGCATGTGTCGCGCACGTGTTTGTAGTCCCATTCTGCAATTCTGTGTACAGTGCTCGTATAGCTTTACCAAGACTGGGCCACATTTCTAGTCATTCTGATGATTCCAGAACCTTGCAATACACACCAATACGCTAGATGATCAACCTTTTCTGATCGATTCCACAACGTTTCTTTCACAATGCAATCGCATGACCATAACTGGTCTTTATCTTTAATGACACCCCTGAAGAAATTATTTTTTAAAAAGTTCATACTGTACATGTCTAGACCCTATAGACCTCTAGACCTGATGTCTCATTTCTCTTTTTCTATGATCACCGTGATGATCGTGATCAAATGGAATTTGAAGGCTAATTTATTCTATTTACGACTCTCTTCTACTTCTATTCTGCTACTTGTCAAAGACTGTTCAGCATCTAGACAAGGGTGATCTTCTGCCGACGGTGGACGGCTTGTGTGAATTTGTGCCGAAATATATAGTAATATACATGTACATATAGATCTAGATTCTAGATCTAGACCTTGATCTACATATACTGTAGGCCTAGACATGCTAGAGTCTAGTCTACATGTTTATGGTTTATCTCGACTGTGGTAAAGAAAACCTTTTTATTCCCAAGCCCAAGGGGCTCATTTCCAATTTTTGATGAAAAAAAAATCTTCTCCTTTAAATTAGATCTAGAGTCTAGTCAGTAGACTCTAGATCTAGTCTAGATCTAGGTCTAGTCTATATCTAGGTCTAGTCTAGTTCTAGTCTAACTTTTAAGATTAGAAAAAAAGAGTTGACTTGATCTTGTCTTCTTGACAGATCCCAGGCATAAATTTAAAGTATTTTAAAATCGTCATACCGCCAACATCATGAGACCTGATATATTGTAGGAGTGTAAATCTTGTACATAGGTCTACTTAGCAGTTAGCTGACAACTATAGAATTCAATGAGTTTTTAAATTTTAATATGAGCCCTCGGATTTACTTACACATAAAGCAGTATATGGGACAACAGACATTTCAGTAAAAGGGCTAATTTAGCTCGTGCACAATACAACTCTAGGTTTAGTTCAAGTTCTAACGTAGACCTAAGATCTGCTACCTAACTTAGTTCGACGTCTCCTTTAGTTTTTTGAACAGGCAATTCATACCTCTCGAAACTCACCTCTTTGGTGAAAAATCCAAATTTAGTAGCACAGCCGAAGCAAAGTCCGTCCATAATTGGTGGTAATTTTCAGATGCACCCTATTTTTCTTTTTTTCCTCTAGGATCTACTGCTCTAGCTAAGACTACTCCAGCAAAGCATGCTATTGCATTTCGACCTGTAGCACCGCACAACGCGTTAATAGGCAGCATTTAATAACATGAATAGTCAAAACACTCATAAGACACAAATGCACACAATTATTCCGATGTGGTTGATCGGCAAGTGTGACAATGGCCGACTCACAATTTGATTTTTTAAATTATTCTTTTTAACATCGGAAAGTTGAAAAAATTGTATTTTACTGCTAATATTGAGTGAAATTATAGATATTCTAGTTGAGTTTTGTACAGTGGTGTTTGAAATGTTGAGAATCAAGTTTTAAAACACACCCAGTAGTGTAATTGCATGTGTGCGGTGCATATGCAGTTGGTGAACTTCAGAAACATATTGTTTTACTATCATGTTATTTGTTTTCCTAATTTCTTTTTCATTTGTATAAGACTCTAGACCTATTCAATTTTTGTTATTCCTGTTTATTGTCATTTTTGCTCTTACACTCAACTATATCTAATATCTATGTTACTCTATAATTTTGAAATTTATTATCCAATTAAATTGAGAATGATCATGCCTTTATTGTTGTAATCAATAAAATTGGAATTGAATTAAATTGAATTGTACATGAATTTATGGGATGGGTGGTGGGGTGGAGTGCCTTTTTGGTTATAGAGCCTACCATAGATCTATACAGGCGCGGATCCAGCTAGGGGAAAAGGCCTTGCCTCCCAGGCCGTCTGTGACCTTCCCGAGTCCCCCCCCCCCCCCCCCCCCGGCCGCCAAAAAAAGAGAGAGAGGAGGAAGGAAAGGGAACAAAAACAGGAAAAGAGGAGATAAAGGGAAGGAAAAAAGAGGAATAAGAACAAAAAGAAGAAGGGGGAGTATCAGTCTCGATTTTCCAGCCAACGAAACATGTGGATCGCCGGGGGGCGTTATTTTTTTCTGCGGCACAATTGTTAGGTGCGTGTTGAGCCTATGGGAAAGTTTAGGGTTAGGGTTAAAAAAAAAAAAAAAGCCCCAATCTGTGCCGCAGAAGAAATAAACAGCTTGTTCGATTTGTTTTTGAAGAAGACCCGGACAGCTTTATCTTTATTATCCATATAAATAACGTCTATAACCACTCTCAGATGGAAGATAATACCAATACGAAATGCATTAAGCAACGTCTAGACATAAAGGTCGAATCTCAACATTATATTTCTTATTCTTCTTTTACATTTCGAAGCGTTGCATGGGATCTTAATCCTGTTTTTTCTACATACATCAATGCCCCCATTTAGGCATACTTTGAATCTGGTCGCGCTTCGAAAAGTTTGTGGCCTAGAATTTTGCTTCTTAAGATCAAATAAAGAAATAAAGCACCCTTTATAGATCAGGTAGAGTGTTAAACTAGATGGAACTTCGACTGCGCGCAGTCGAAAATGATGCCTCCATCATAGAGCAATCACAAACCAAAACAGAAGAAATTTTACAAATTCAAGTTCAATTGTAATCCATTAACAGGTTCTCAGAATATTGTGATTACAAGCAATTTCTCATACGACCATTTGATCTTTGACCTCATGACCCTAAAATCTACTCAGTTCATTGGTCCTGCAAGATGTCCTGAGTTAAATAGTAATCCATCTGTCAGTTCTAATCAGTGCGTTCACAAGCTATTTTTGCATACATAATGAGTCCATGACCTTTGACCTTTGACCTTTGACCCAAGAATCTACTCGGTTCATTGGCTCTGCAAGATACAAACATGATCTAAGTTTGGCAGGAATCCATCAATCGGTTCTTCAGAAATCGTGATCACGAGCTGTTTTTGCATACATAATGAGCCCTGTGACCTTTGACCTTTGACCTCGTGACCCCAAAATCTAATCAGTTCATTGGCTCTGCAAAATACATACATCATCAAAGTTTGACAGGAATCCGTCAATCGGTTCTTCAGATAACGCGATCACGAGAACGGGACGTACGGACGGACGGACAACCCGAATGCCTCCGGCTACTTCTTAACGGAGGCATAAAAAAGCACACAGTAGGAGCCGTGTAATTTTAATATCAAGGGATGGGTTAGAGTTTATTTCCAAAAATTGAAATGAAAGGGCTTTTTTACTTTCAAGAAACCTTTCATTTCATTTAAGAAATAACCTCTCTTTAAATCTTAGAGACACTTTCTCTTGAAAGTTAAATAAACTCAAGAGCATCCTGGGGCTCCGCCCCGGAACCCCCGGCAGGGGCTCTGCCAGGCAAAGCTGTGCCATATTGTATGGATCTATTGGAAAGCAAAATAAGCCCAATAAATAATTTGTATATATTATGTATACATACATATATATAGATATATATATAGTTCTCCTATGCAAACATTCCTCTGTGAAATGCATAATAAATCGTTTTCGAGGGTTGGCAATGGAAATAGATAAACAGTAGAAACAGACCATGAATAAAGAAATAAACAGCTTGTTCGATTTGTTTTGAGGCATTATCTTCAAAAACCCTGACAGCTTAAACTGTATTATCCTAATAAATAACGTCTATAATCACTCTGAGATGGGATAAATACCAATACGAATTGCATTTTGCAACGTCTAGACATAAAGGTCGAATCTCAACTTTATTTTTCTTATTCTTCTTTTACATTTCAAAGCGTTGCATGGGATCTTAATCCTGTTTTTTTTACATACATCAATGCCACCATTTAAGCATCTTGAATCTGGTCACGTTTCAAAAAGTTCGTGGCCTAGCAATTTGTTTCTGTTGATGATCAAATAAAGAAAACACCCTATAGCGTGTTAAAAAAAGCACACAGTAGGAGTCGTGTAATTTTAATATCAAGGGATGGGTTAGAGTTAATTTCCAAAAATTGAAATGAAAGGGCTTTTTTACTTTCAAGAGACCTTTCATTTCATTTAAGAAATAACCTCTCTTTAAATCTTAGAGACACTTTCTCTTAAAGGTTAAATAAACTCAAGAGCATCCTGGGGCTCCGCCCCGGAACCCCGGCAGGGGCTCTGCCAGGCAAATCTGTGCCATATTGTATGGATCTATTGGAAAGCAAAATAAGCCCAATAAATAATATATATAGTTCTCCTATGCAAACATTCCTCTGTGAAATGCATAATAAATCGTTTTCGAGGGTTGGCAATGGAAATAGATAAACAGTAGAAACAGACCATGAATAAAGAAATAAACAGCTTGTTCGATTTGTTTTGAGGCATTATCTTCAAAAACCCTGACAACTTAAACTGTATTATCCTATTAAATAACGTCTATAATCACTCTGAGATGGGATAAATACCAATACGAATTGCATTTTGCAACGTCTAGACATAAAGGTCGAATCTCAACTTTATTTTTCTTATTCTTCTTTTACATTTCAAAGCGTTGCATGGGATCTTAATCCTGTTTTTCTACATACATCAATGCCACCATTTAAGCATCTTGAATCTGGTCACGTTTCAAAAAGTTCGTGGCCTAGCAATTTGTTTCTGTTGATGATCAAATAAAGAAAACACCCTATAGAGTGTTAAAAAAAGCACACAGTAGGAGCCATGTAATTTTAATATCAAGGGATGGGTTAGAGTTAATTTCCAAAAATTGAAATGAAAGGGCTTTTTTACTTTCAAGAGACCTTTCATTTCATTTAAGAAATAACCTCTCTTTAAATCTTAGAGACACTTTCTCTTGAAAGTTAAATAAACTCAAGAGCATCCTGGGGCTCCGCCCCGGAACCCCCGGCAGGGGCTCTGCCAGGCAAATCTGTGCCATATTGTATGGATCTATTGGAAAGCAAAATAAGCCCAATAAATAATTTGTATATATAGATATATATATAGTTCTCCTATGCAAACATTCCTCTGTGAAATGCATAATAAATCGTTTTCGAGGGTTGGCAATGGATATAGATAAACAGTAGAAACAGACCATGAATAAAGAAATAAACAACTTGATCGATTTGTTTTGAGGCATTATCTTCAAAAACCCTGACAGCTTAAACTGTATTATCCTATTAAATAACGTCTATAATCACTCTGAGATTAATACCAATACGAATTGCATTTTGCAACGTCTAGACATAAAGGTCGAATCTCAACTTTATTTTTCTTATTCTTCTTTTCCATTTCAAAGCGTTGTATGGGATCTTAATCCTGTTTTTCTACATACATCAATGCCACCATTTAAGCATATCTTGAATCTGGTCACGTTTCGAAAAGTTCGTGGCCTAGCAATTTGTTTCTGTTGATGATCAAATAAAGAAAACACCCTTTATAGATCAGGTAAAGTGTTAAAAAAAGCACACAGTAGGAGTCGTGTAATTTTAATATCAAGGGATGGGTTAGAGTTTATTTCCAAAAATTGAAATGAAAGGGCTATTTTACTTTCAAGAGACCTTTCATTTCATTTAAGAAATAACCTCTCTTTAAATCTTAGAGACACTTTCTCTTGAAAGTTAAATAAACTCAAGAGCATCCTGGGGCTCCGCCCCGGAACCCCCGGCAGGGGCTCTGCCAGGCAAATCTGTGCCATATTGTATGGATCTATTGGAAAGCAAAATAAGCCCAATAAATAATTTGTATATATTATGTATACATACATATATATAGATATATATATATATATAGTTCTCCTATGCAAACATTCCTCTGTGAAATGCATAACATATTCTTTTTCGAGGGTTGGCAATGAAAATAGATAAACAGTAGAAAAAGACCATGAATAAAGAAATAAACAGCTTGTTCGATTTGTTTTGAGGCATTATCTTCAAAAACCCTGACAGCTTAAACTGCATTATCCTTAAAAACAATATCTCTTACATGGTTATGTAACTAGTCAAGTTTGGCGCCATTTAAAACTCAATGATCTATTACATTGAATTAATCGTTAAGAATCATTAAAAATAATCATTGAATAACAAAGAAGTATTTTGATATATGCACTAACCTAGACAATTTTGATTGAATTTTGAAACTTTGAAACGCTACTATTACGACTTCTCATAATCGCTTATTTAGGAGCGCTAAAAACAAAAGTACCATAGTTCTTACAAAATCGCAGAATTCGAAGAGAAACTTAAAATGTCTACGTTATCAATTAACATACCATTACAATAAATTTCGGCGATTGCACTCTCTTTTTCAAGATATTGGCACACAAAATGCTGGACTTAGCTCATGCTGCAATTATAATTATAAACCTTTAGTTCAGTCAGGAATCACATGACGTGTACAAGAGTGTTCGACGGGTTCGCCCCCCCCCCCCCCCACTGGCAATAATAATAATAATAATAAATATATATATTTTTTTAAATGGCTTATTCACTGGCTGGCTGAGTCACCGCTAAATTTTTTCTCACGAATTATTCCCCCCCCCCCCCTCTTGCCGCCGGCTGGATCCGCCACTGTGTAAGTCTCCTCCTATGGGAAATTTGATGATCTTAACATGCAAGGGGGACTCGCACCACGAAGAATATATAGACAGTTTTATAGTGTTTCTCTTAATAGGCCTACTAGCTAAATTGGCTCGACTAAATAAATCGGTAATATCATTTAAAACAAAATTTAATGAAAGTTATATTTCGTATAAATCGTTATATAATCGTTAAAGGCAATATGAAATTAATAAATATAATATTTATTAATTCAGCCTAATCAATGCTTGACTAAATAAATTTAAATAGTGAATGACTTTAATAGACCTACTAGATAAATTGGAATAGTTTGAACATATTTGTGGCTTACACCCAGTAAATAAGATCGATTGATCGATCTGTAATTGAAAAACAAGTCAGAAAAAATGGGGGGGGGGGTGGGCACGTGCCCCCCCCCCTAAACATCAAATTCTGGCTACATGCCTGGGTATCAGGGCCAGAATGTTTAATTGAGTTTTGAGCTAAGGTTGTTTTGGCGTTAAATAGGTGACAGTCATTGGAATGACTGGTTGGGTAGGAATGAAAACTAGCATTATGTTGGTATGATATGAAAAGCGCTATATAAGAACTAGCTATTATTATTATTATTATTATGACTAGTGATGTGGGGAGATAATGCCGGATTTCAGCCGAAACATGAACAGAGATTTTTTGCATGTAGTGTATATCACTTGTTTTTAGCGTTTTAAATTAATTTTGGCAAATAAAGGGTCAGTGGTCGCGATAACCTGCATCGGTACAAACTCGAGTTGCTTTTTTCTGTAACATTAATATGCGATTAGTATTGCACTTATGAGTATCCAATATGATGTTGCAATAAGAAATATAGTGAAACCAATGTATTATATAGCATACTAAGCACATGTGTTGGCAACAAAATATTTTAGCTTAAATAATATACCAATATTACGAGAAATATAGGGGTATAGAGACAGGCGCGTACGCAGGAGGGGGGGGGGGGTGTTTTTTAGGGGTTACCCCCCCCCTCAATTTGTTCTCGAAAAAAAATATTGATGCTCCTTTACCCTTCCCCCCCCCCCCCCCGGCCAAGGTCGTATCTATCTCTCATTAGGCCCAAAATTGAGTAAGGGAACATAGCGACCAAGTGAGACAACTAAGGGGGGGGGGGGGGCGCAATTTTTGTTGTGCCATTGATATACATGTAGATAGATGCATCAGCCTTCGATACCAATTATAAACAGAGCTTTTACAGTGATAAGAAACACTGCGTCTAAGTCTAACGATATTTAAAGGAGCGTAGCAGCCGAGCGAGAAAATGGTTGATCTTGAATTTTGCTTAAAGTTTACATTTCAGTGCACTAAAAAGCCAATTATGAGGCATCTTGTATGATCCGCTGTCGTTTATGTGTTCCATTCTAGAGTAATTTCGTGCCAGATTTGGGAGAAACAGTGGACATGGTTGGAAACGTTAGTATTTAGGCTATAATATAACGAGAGATTACAATGCATGCGCAGACAAACCATACTTAATGGGTGTATACTGAATTTAATGGACCGAATCTTAGAGAGAAGATTATCTAGATTGGTTTTATGCTTCGATCACCAAACTTTGATTAATGTATCTATCTATTATATTCGGAAAATCAGTTCCATTCACTGATGGCGTAACAATATGTCGCAATGCGCAGCAGTGATCTGTCTCTGACAGTGTGATATTAATCACATGCAGGGTATCTAATTAATTATATATCCTACCAACTTTATTTCCTCTGCCACCTCTCCCTATCTTTTTCTCTCTCTCTCTCTCTCTCTCTCTCTCTCTCTCTCTTCTTTAAATCCCTTCTCCTCTTCTCAATGTTCTCTCAAAGAAAATTTGAACATAAAAATGCAGGTAACTATCTTAGATCTTATTCATCGAGTTAACGCCTATAAAATTACACAGTACATCAATCGTGTTTCTAAAAATCCTAGAAAGATGTTCTGTAGCATGATTTACGGGGCGGTCTTTTTGTTTTCAACTTTCTCCTTGTCACTAGTACTGGTCCTGGGGGGAAGTTTATTATTATAACGGAATTTATATATCACGATTATGCTATTTACTGAAACTAAAATAGCACAATAATAAAAGAAGAATAAAGGAAACGTCTTGGTAAATACTATAGCATTGCTGTCTTTCTAAATATTCATAATTGAATGACACACGCCCTTAAGACTAAAACAACAACAACAACAACAACAAAATTCTTTGGCGTAAATATTCACTACGGACTAATACTTGTCTTGAAAACTAAAATAACAACTGTTGTCACAACACCTACACAATTACTAGCATTTGGTCACGTGCTTTATATTTCTGTATAATGCTCTTTGTCATCACTACACCCTTGCCACTCCTTGAAAGCAAGTCGACCAGAAGAGAGGTATAGGTACCCGAGATCCAGAGACATTTTGCTTTCTATCTTCAATTCTGTCGGATCTATCCCAATTTCTAAAGATGGTAAGTTGTTAGATCACGATTTAATTTGTTTCCTTCCTGAAATGTGTTGCTGCCGTCTACAGTAATTTCAGGCTTAAATAATTTGGAGGTATTAATACACCTGTTTTTTTAAATTCTATTTAGGCATATATATTTCTCTCCTGAATCCCTGTTCATTCTATTCAGATATAATAAACAGTCTGTTTCTCTATATGTGCTGTACAAGCATGAATGTCAATTTAAGAAATATAATCACAAACAGAAATCAACAAAGAGAATATACAAATCTTATAACTACTAAAATTATTAACTTAACATAAATAACTAACATAATATAAAGGTAGCTAACGTGGTCAAAATAAATAACGTAGGTAAGGACGAAATACAGTTTAAGTTAATTAATTGAGGCCAAAGAAGTGCGTTTTTAGTACAGATTTGAACGTTAATTGCAGAAGTGGGTGTCTGTCGTATGAAATTGGGAAGATTGTTCCATACAAAGGTTTGGTCCAGCAACTGCAAAAGATCTGCCCCCATAGAATAATGTATTGGTTTTAGGTACTCAAAGTAATGATTGCTTGAGGGTTCCAGGTGGATGCATGGTGGCACCTCTTATCCACTTTCTATACTGTTGTTGATACGTTGGGCAATAATCTGGTCAATCATCACTGCTGCAATAGTGAAACAGACTAGCACAAATCAAATTAGACTAGTATTATACGGTTGAATTTACCTACAGTTTATTACTACGTGATTTAATTCACATTTTTTTCTCAAAATTAAATACTTCACTACAAGTTTGGGTTTTTCACTAAAAAGTTAAGCGTTCCAAACCTTTTTGTTTCTCCATCGTCGGGTAAGAGTCATCTTGGATTTCCTTGTTAAATCCATCCGGTAGTTCCGTTGCTTGCTATGTAGTTGATAATGCACAGAGAGAAAGAGAGAGAGAGACAGAGACAGAGAGACAGAGAGACAGAGAGAGAGAGAGAGAGAGAGAGAGAGAGAGAGGGGGGGACCACCATCATTATGCAATGGTTCAGGTTTATGTCATGTACTTTTGAAACCATTTCCTAGCATCTCAACCCCCCCCCCCCCCCCACTCAGTGTTATTTAGGGTACGCATATGCATGTTCCCTCCTTTTGAAAGCACCCCCTATAAAGTCCGGTGTGTAAAGTCAATTTTTTGGTACTACGAGCCGGACTTTGGTGGTGGTGGTGGTGGTGGTGGTGGTGGGGGGGGGGGGGGGGGGGGCTGGATAAAGACTATGTGGTATCGGCAGAAAATTGATGCTATAATATCGGATATTTGTTTTTTATATGATCTTTATAATGTTTTTAAGGTGACATAGCTTATTCTCCCCTTGCAAACGAGAAAGAAAACAATGTTATTAAAAGGGATCATGCGTCTAATATGATTGTTATTGAAATCGATTCAAAGATTTTTTTTGAATAAGCACTGCTTTTTACCAAAATCTGTTTTTTAAAAACAACTTTTACAAATCTCATCCATGCTTATTGAGTTGAGACGTTCCATTCAATTGAAAATACTCCAAAAGAATAAACTTTTCCTAATCTGAAAGTGATCTTACAACGTAGTGGCAGAATTTATTGAGCCATGCCCTTTGATTATTAGGAATCAATGCATAAAGCCTTTAATAGTCCTATAGTCGCGGATGCCTAAATGGGGGTATTTCACTAAGCGGCGAATGATTACGAACGTTGTGAGTTTTGGCAGTTGGCGACTATTCGCGACTGTAAGCAAATGTTAGCGACAGTTTTTGCGAAGATTGGCAACTTTTTGCTAATCCTTTGCCACTATTTGTGAATGTTTGGGACCTTTAGGAACCCTGGCGAAACCCCAATTTCGCTGTGAGCGGCGATTGCTTGCGAACGTATAGCGAATTTGGGTTTCGCCACGGTTCGTATAAGGTTGCAAAAGTTTCGTGAAGGGTTGCAAGAAAGTTCGCAATTCTCAATTTTCATTGTCGCAAAGAAATTTTGAACATGTTAACAATTTCTTTGCGAATTTATTTTTTCGCAAACCAGCCGTAAAACCTTTGCAAACGGTTGTAAGACGGTGTTGCTGAAGTTCTTTTTGATTCGCCAATGCTAGCGACCACGTTACCATATTATGGTTCCTATACAAAAATAGATCCGTTGAGTACCAGAAGTAATAACAAAAGGTCCCAAACATTCATAGTGGCAAAGGATTAGCGAATAGTTGCTAATCTTCGCAAAAACTGTCGCTAACATTTGCTAACAGTCGCTCATAGTCGCCAACTGCCTTTCGCAAACACTTTCGCAAATTTTCGCTCAAATGTTGCTAATTGTCGCTAAACAGCGCTAAATGTCGCAAAGGCGAACCCTGATTTTCGCCAACATTCGTCAGAAAATTTTGCGAATCCAAAACCGCAATGTTCGATACCCCTTTAAAGGTAAAGACCAGAATTGGAAACGCCCCAATTTCAAAAAATGAAATGGAAGCTCTCATTACCAATCATGTGAAAGAATATGTTTTGACTAATACATGATGATAAAAAAATTGCCAGGAAACCGCCTACTAATTCATATATTTGGTAAATTTGTTTCTCTCATGGTCTGTGAGAGATATAGGGTAGTCCGATATACATCTTTCTGTGTATAGTGCTTGTAACTTTACGAAGAATGGGCCAAATTTCTTATCATTTTGATGATTCCAGAACCTTGCAGATGCTAGATGCTAGATGATCAACCTTTTCTGATCGATTCCACGTTTCTTTCACAATGCAATCGCATGACCATAACTGGTCTTTACCTTTAAGAAGTCTAGCGACGGTTAATGTTGATATATTCCCTGTCACTTTACTTTATACGGTCAGTGATTTTCGAAAATAGGACGTTAGTCAAAGAGGACCGTCAGCCGAGCGAAATATCGGTTTCCGCATGTGCAAAATCGCACAAGTCACCGTCCCTTTGATTTCAGGATGGTTCTCCGGTCTCGGCTGAAATAACGTCTGATCTGTAAACGGGAAGGAATAGTTTGTCGTGTATATGGGGAAAAAACAGAAAGGGAATTTAAAAGGTAATTTTCGGAAAAACAAACAATTCATAGGGGATGATAAAGGAAAAGATGAAACAAAGAAGAGAAAATGATAGGATAAAAACAAAGAATAACATAAAAACAGACAGAAGAGAAAATGTTAGAATGATAGAAGAAAGGATAACAAAAATAACAAAGAGAAGCTTAGAGAAGGAGACAAATTAAAAAAAACACAAAGAAATACCCAAAGGAGTAAAATGATTCGGGGTCACAGGACTTCGCGTCACCGTCCCCAGAAATCAAAATGGTCTACAGAATAATGAGGATAGGATTACTGTGAGAGGAACGCGTCATCGTCCCCTTCCAACAAGTCCCTAATTATAAGACGGCATTACGACGGTAGAAGGCCGGCAAAAAAAAAAAAAAAAAAGGGGGGGGGGGACCTCCGTAGTCAGACCTGACGAGACCACAAAGTAACACTTTAAAGTTCTGGATCTATAGAGGGAACTGCGCCTATTTTTTCAATGAAGTTCCGTAGTTGATCACGGAAGCAATGCGGAAAGGCTTCGACGGCCGTACTAGAATTGTTAGGCATGGGTTAAGCCTACTTTCTAAGCTTAACGAGTTAATTTTTAATGGATATTTGTTGACTTATATCTGGAAGTATTAAGACTACACATCTTTTTCTGGCTTTTAACAATCTAAGGGAGGAAGAGAGAGGGAGAGAGAGAGAGAGAGAGAGCAAGTTTAGATAATTCGAGCCTACTTTAGATAAGTGCCCCTTTTTATTTCTTATAGGTGTCCGTTCCACATCTTACCACCTCTGATACATGTAAGTGCCCCCTTCACCGATGATAATTGCCCCTATTCAAATCTGAGAGGTGCCCATTTTATTTTAACAAGTACCCTTTTCTTTTGTAATAAGTGCCCCTTCTCACCTCTCATAATTGCCCTCCTTTATTTTGGCACGTGCCCCCTTGTCTTTCTAATCAGTGCCCTTTCATCTCTGATAAATGCCCCTTTTTTTATAAGAGCCAGTTCACTTTCTCATAAATGCCCTTCTCACATGACTTGTGTGCTAAATGCCTTTATTAAAATCTCATAGTTGCCCCTTTTCTTTCGACAAGTGCCCATTTTCCTTTGTAATAAGTACCCCTTTCAATTCTTACAAGTGCCCCTATTTATCTTAGGTGAGTGTCCCTTTTCAGGTACAATAAATAACCCTTACCACCTCTGATTCTTTTCAAATCTGAGAGGTGTCCCTTTTATTTTGACAGTTTAAAGTGCCTCTTTTCATCTCCGTTGAGTGCCCTTATTACAATTTGAGAGGTGCTCATTCGACTCTGTAATAAATGCCTCTTTTCATCTCTGATAATTGCCCCTTTTACTTTGTAATAAGTGCCCCTTTCCGTCCGCATAAGTGCTTTTCTTCATTTCTGGTGAATGCCCCTTATCATGTGCGAGTAGTGCCTCACTGTCACCTTTAAATATTCCGATTTTTACTTTGACACGTGCTCCTTTTCTTTTCTAATAAGTGTCCTTTTAACTTTGGATATGTGTCCCCTTTTTCTTTCACCATGTATTCTCATAATTTAAAGCGACCAAGATCAACTTTTTCTTCGAGTTCACCCAAAGCTCGCTCGATATGCTTGCTCGCATTTTATGTTATTACATTTTGTTTCTTATTAAATACCTTTCCAGTCTTTCATGATTAGGATTGTTTTTACCTTTTTATAAGATGAAATTTTCGCACCACGACCTCGCAAATCTTTGTTGTTGTTGCTTGCTCTCTTCGCTCGCTCGCAATGAAATATTGAGACCATCACACTGCAAAGTATGATGCTTAGTATCTTGGACCATGTAAAGAGAGAAAAAAAACAATGAAATCATCCCTGATAATCTAATCACAATGTAGGGGTATATTAAAGGGCCTTTCCATGTATAAAATAGCTATATTTTCGCTTTGAGGTTCTAGGTGACCTTTTTTTCTCTCCAGAAAGTGCCCTTTTTTGTTTGTGTATAATTAGTCAACGAAGCAAAATACGACATTTCACAATCTAGATTCCTCATTGATAGTAGTGTTATTTTAATTTCGTTTTTTTTTTCCTTTTCATTACAGGCAGCCCAATTACTTTTAACCGAAGAGGAGAAAGCAGGTACGAAAAACAACGAGTCCGAATGTTTCAATTTTTATAATGGTAGACCAAAGTTTAATATAACAAGAGGGTATTATAAAACAATGTTAAACATGATATTAGTATTGCAGTAAAATGTTAGCTCTCGAAGAGCATCAACAGAAAATAAGATCATTAAAGATGTGAAAATAACAGCTGGTCTTTTAGGATAAAAACAATTCTCCTTCACATTGGAGGATATCGGTTGGTTGGTTGGTTAGTTTGTTTGTTTTACTTGACTGCTAAGAAAGCATGTGTGTGCTTGTAAGTAAACAACCAGTGGACCGACTGCTTTCAATCCTCTCCGAGGGACTTGGTAATGAGGATTAATGCCTTACTAAAAGGCACTAGCGCATCGACTTGGTGTCGAACACGGGACCTCCCGGTTACGAGACCACTGTTCCACCACTGAGCCATCACGCCTGCTTGCAATTTGAAGATTGCAATATTGAAGAAATCAAGCAAAATAACGCCTAATGATGAAAACAAATTGTTATTCAATCCAATAATTTCTAGTCATGTAGAAGTATTTGCTTTCAAGAGGAACGACTTTGCTTTTATTAGCAATTGCCAGTCCTTATATAAGATATATATATATATATGTATATACATTACTCGATGTTTCCTACAAACATCTCCTGCTTCTTTCCTCCCCTCTCTTACTGACACCATTCTCCAATTTTTTAACTATTTTTTTATTACCTCTTTTCTAGAATACAAGGCAAAATTCGACAAATTTGACGAGAATGGCGATGGCACCATCCCTACTAGGATGTTGAAGTTTGCGATGACAGCAATGGGTCATGACCTTACTGAGGCTGAGCTTGAAAATTATGTAGCTAAAGGTGAGTTCATGGTGAAGACTAATGAAATGACAACGAAAGAGATGATGAAACTGACCACAACACGTAAATTGGAAGTTTAATTAGCTATGACTTGAAGCATAAAACATTTCCTTTTAACATGGGTTGCGAAAATCCGTAAAAGAAGTTTAACATGTTAACAATGAATTCTGTGATAAAAAAGTCAATTCCGTGTCAGAGTTCGTCATACGACAGGAAGCATAGCCAGAAATTTGACTGAAAAGGGATATCTGTGATTTAAAAAAAATATTTAAAAGATGTTGTATTAATACTTTTCAGTTTACAAAACATATTCCATGGAAAAATACTTAAATCTTGTGCATAATTATTGATGTCAAGTATATATCGTCGCTCGCATCACGAACCGTCCTCTCCGCGCATTTCCAAGCGAAAGTCAGTTTTGCAGAAAACGCGTTTAAAAGATAGGACTTTTTGAAACGGTAATTGTTAGACTTTAGAATAGATTATATTAAAAATCAATGTGACTGCTTGAAAGTTTAGGTCTTAAAGTTGTATACAGTGTGTTTACATTTTCTTGAGTTGGAGTATTTTGCTAGGGAGGACGGTTCGTGGTGGGAGCGACGATATGTATGAATTATACTTCATAAACAGATTCTGTTTATGAAGTATAATCAAGAGGTCATCAGGTCAACAATAATTACAGTGAAAGGTGAAACTACTTTTTAAATAAAGTGGTAGTACACAATTCTATTTTCTATGGTGAAATGAGAGCTTGCCTTTTCGATTTGCAATACATTATTCTTCTTTATACGAAGTAAAAATCATCCTTTTAAGACAATCAATGCTTGGCTTGTATTTCATGTTCATGTACAGGTAAATACACCGTTTTGCTATTATCAAAATATGATTAATTATTATACTGTGTGAGTGCTTTTCTAAATATAATATGATGACCGTGTTTTTTCATCCAGAAAAGATTAGACAAACGTTGGTTTAATTCCAAAACTTCTGTAATACCTACATTGCCATTGTGCGCGTTCTAAAGTTTCTGAATTTTTGCAGCAAAATGAACATAATTATTATTATGGAGAAGGCTCTGTTTGCATTTTGAAAAGCCTTTAATTAAAGAACAGAATATTAAGCAGAACTTTAAACTGGAACTGTCGTGTTTTTGTTTCAATACTGGTATTGATCATAATTGTTCGTACTTTACACAATTCATTAACACTCAAATAATTTTTTTTTTAACGAGAAGAGCTCAGAGATTGCTCTCTCTTCATTTCAACAAAGTTTACATGAAAGTGCTTACTTTTTATCACCTTAAGATGTTTCCACTCATTAGGCATTTATTTAAGAGAATTATCGGATCTAATCTTCCTGCATTGAAATCGAGACGTAAGAATGCAAGATGAATCACTATTCGAAAAGGAATTTTGTGTGGGAACTAAGAAGCCTATCTTTCTTCATTCGGTTAGGTAACGAAACTACTACATATTCTGAGCTTTTGACGATGATAGAAGTTAAGGTGAAGCTAGCCGGAGTTTACAAAATATACAGTGAAGCTTTCCTCGCCGTGGACAAGGATGGCAGCAACCGTCTCTGGTAAGTTGGACAGTGATAGGGTAGTAGGACAGTGAAAGGGTATTGGGATAGTGATAGCAGGGGCGTACGCAGGGGGGGTGTTTTGGGGGTTCAACCCCCCCCCCCCTTTGTTATGTTAATGTATGTAAACCCCCCTAAAAAAAACCTAAAACCCCCCCCTTTGGCTTTTTTTTTTTTTTTTTTTATTTAAAAAAAAAAAAAAAAAAAAAAAAAAAAAAATTATACCCACGGCTAACCTAAATAAGGTGACCTTATCCCCCCCCATACGTAAAAAAATGTCAAATTTTGAAATTTTGAGACCAAAAAAAAAAAAAAAAAGTGTCCGCTTTTTTCCCTCAAGAATTCACATCCTAAACGGGTATTTCAAAGAAGGGTACTCCTAAACAAGTATTGTAAAATAATTATTGTAGCCCCCTGACTGAGGAGTGCGACAGGGACTACCTTTTAGTTGTAAAAAATGTAAAATTAATCAAATTGCGCTTCTGATGTAAAATTCATAAGGTAATTTTGTTGTCAATAGAGAAACAATAACATGGGTTTAATGCACATGCAGCCATCATAAGTCCTTTCTTTGAAAAAAAGAATTACATCTCAAATATGATCTATTTTATGTAAAGTACATGACTGTAGTGTTAACAAAAAGAACACAATGTACAATGAACAGTTACTATTCTACTATGCAAAACAAAATATAAGAGACCAGCTATATATAGGCGCGAGACTTGGTAGGTCTGGGTCGGTATCGTGGGCATCCATCTTGATATACTGAAGATCTAAAGACCGGCAAGCGCAGGCGGCGGCCGGTAGACTCGCCAATGGGCATTATTACCCCTTTCATTGTTTTCCACGGTCGGTCTGGCCATGAGGGTTAAAAATACCCCTGAACGCGTATACCGGCGCGAACAGCAGGATTTTGAACCATTTTGAAAAAGTACCCTTTTTCTTGAAAATCATGGCCCAAATGGACGTTTTTGAACCCCTTAATACGGCACCGTTTACAGTATTTATATTTGACTGAGACCCCGGGAAGCTTGCCCAGTCTTTTATGAGAATGGCAATAGATTTATCAGGTAAATTTGAAGAAGAAAACAATCCGATGAATTGTACGTCCAAGTTTCCGCTGTTCGAAAAATGTGAACAATAATCATTTCATGCTAAAGACTAATGGAAAACAGCGTGTTAGGAAACATAATCCCTTAAGAATAAGATGCTCCTCCCGCTCCCATCCTCCTCCAGTCACCCCCCTCTCTCTCTCTTTCTCAAACTATGAACCAGACAATTATAGCTTTAAAAAAACTACGATCTACCACTTGGGTGAATATACCCTATATATTTTTCATTCGGATAGTACAAACAGAATAGTTCTTTTGGTTTTACAACTATCCGGGTATCAGTAAATGTGTATCACACGTTAGTTGTCTGGAGTTTTGCGTTTGTAGTCTTTGCCCGGGACTTGATTATCCCTCGAAGACAATAAATTAATAATCAATAATCAGGGGGATGATTATTATGCTTGTTAAGCTTGTACAAGAGTAGATCAATATCATTAACATAATTTCATTTTCTATATGGTATAGTCGAGATCAATGCTGGATCAGTATTCATCACATTTGAATAATATTCGATGATAATTTAGTCAATGACTTCAGTGGAATAATCCAAATTTGGAGAAAGTGATCTCAAAATAATTTGTATTTGTTAATTATTTGCTTGCAGTGCTGACGAGCTGCGTCAAGCGATGTTCACCGTTGATCCGTCGATGACGGAGGAGGATATCAATGCAATGATCGAGAAATTCGACTTTAATGAAGACGGTAAACTCAACCTTTTAGGTGAGTGCATTGAAAGGATGATGTCAGTGGCATAATGTAATCAACCCCCCGGCCCCCCACTCAGTGTTATTTAGGGTACGCATATGCGTGTTCCAAGCGACCCCCCCCCCCCCTTTTCAGCAAAAGTCCGGTGTGTAAAGTCAGTACGGGTCGACCTTTTTCTTTTGTAATACGAAAAGGACATTTTGGTAACACGCATGGGGTACGTCCGTTCTCGGAGTGGGGGGGGGGGGGGGGGGGGGCGGGGGGGGGGCGGGGGGGGGCGGGATCAACCCATTGAAAGGGAACTGGAATGGTATGGGGAGGGGCACCGATCTTACTCGTAAAATGAAATACGAATTTGAAAGGCTGCTGCTCAGAGGAAGAGTATGGGAGGGGGTTCAGGAGTCTTCTTTTCTCGTCCCTTTCCCCAATTTCAAAACCTGACAGTCAGCTGATAGTATACACCGATTCTTATATGAAACTTCCATAATTTATTGGTCCCAAACATTTTTTCACAGTTAAATCGTATGACCAGTAGTCGACTTTTACCTTCAATCATCAACATATTTATAGCAGTTCTCATTCGGCGTCATTTTTGTCTCGCCTGCAAAACGGAGCGAGACATAGCCGTCACTATATATCCAGCGTCCTTGTAGTTGTAGTAGTTTTCGTCGTCGTTCGTGTTGTTGTCGTCAACAATCATGCTATATTCGCAATAAGTTTTTGTATAGCTACGAGGTAGGATAACCGAATTCAAACCCCAGGTACATCTGTTGAAGGGGGCAGATCAAATTCGAAAATGGGTCAAATCTAAATGAGGTCAAATGGTCAATCAACTTTCCATGTAAAGCACTCATGCACTGTACACGCAATATTGAATAAAACCTCGATGATGAGGTCGAGGGTTCTAGGCCATCTTATGTAAATATCTCAACTAATATTCCACTACAATTTCAATTTGATATGTACTTATGAACAACGCACAATCTCAAGATGATTTCGGATCGCCAGGTCAACAGTTAGGTCATGTGAGAAACATTGTACTTAAGGGATTTTCACTCAGAGGCAGAGGCATAATTCTCAATCGTGTGAAGTTAAATTTGTTTAGGCTGTTTTTTTTTATACCATGGGTTTTTTGATCGTATTTAATAGCAGCATTCTGAAATAGTGTTCTCTCATTTGTCAGTGATAAAGTCTATGCAACATTACCATTACCGGAAACTGTCAGAACCAAAATTCACATCCTGAGCTCCTGGAAGCTTAAAATTACACAGTTTTCATAAGTGTATTGCGTTTATTCGCATCGTGAGACTCAGGCGAGACAACGTCTGCAGATTGCCTTATTTCTTTTCATTCACTGCATATTATTTCTCCTTTTCTACCTTTCAGAATTCATGCAGTTGATAATTCATTATACTCGGTGAAGATGATGAACGCTATCCTCTACTTCAACAGCGACAACTTGTCCTTTTTGTCCTTCTTGAGGACACTTCGGGAAAGGACAATATAATCGTCTCGTATCAGATTTCATTATGTTCCGGTAATTTTGTTTGAGCTGTCACTTTTTGTTTTGTATAGTTTGTCTTTTTTTCAAAGATTGGTTCGAATTTCCCTTCACTTTATTTCTTTACATTTTTTTCATTATACCCAGGGTGCCTTTATAATGTTTGTGTACTCCTTCCAAAAATAAATGTTGTATTTTTTTTCTTCTTCTGAAAGCCAACTATTAGTATTTCATTATATGATACCTTTGACATCATGATTTTTGTATTTGTTTTTTATTTTTATCATAGTCATCGTGATTGTGGTTAGGATGGAGGTCGACTAACACCAAAGAATATCCATGTCCGAAAAGTGACATGGTACACAAGGGAGAAGAGGAATTTTAACTTTCTTAATTCTTGATAGGCGGTAAAAGCACTTATCTTAATTTACTTTAATGGTATTTCATGTGGAGGTGTCGTAGGTCATTCCAAGGAGTTTTGAGAGCTGGAGACCCAACTGGCAACACATTATTCCAAGCAGCTGCCGTTTTCTATGGTTGCACAATAGAATCTACAGGCGTGCTGTCACCTTTGATGTCCGAGGTTCGAAGCCGCCAATATCATTGGAAAGCTTGAGTAGTGATTTTGTTCACAAAGAAATATCCTTAATATTTCACTTTTTTATTTGAACTAACAAGGGGAAAATCAAACAGATGATAAAATATGTATTGAAAAGCCAAATTGTGTCAAGAAATGTGCTTACATTGTATGATAGCAGCTTTAATTTGTGAAAAATAGTGAAATGCAACAGTCCTAAAACTTGCAATTTGACACTTTTCCGATAACTTCCGGCTCACGAACAAAAAAAAGTGAATTTGCTCATGTACAGTTCTTTATGATGTTATATGTCAGAATAGTGCCCGCACATGCCCAGTCGAATAATTTTGATTAATATTTCTGGAAATGTTACTCCATTTCCTTTCGCTTGCCTCCTGTAAAGGTAAGCACTGTGTTCTGCTCGTATTATCAGACGAGTGGTAGCGAAAAGTAGTTATCATTACAAAAGCATCTTTCCCTTTGAAAGTGGTCCGTTAGTTTGCAGCTAGGCAGGAATCTTTTGTCTACGTATCTGCAAGGAAGATCTAGTTAAGCACATGCCTGGCATATTTCCTCGTGGCGGCATCGAAGATGGTACAAAGGGAATGAGTTAGATAAGACTCCATCTCTTAAAGCGTCTTGGTCATTCAATACGCCATTTTCGTAATGTAACCAAATATGATTCATAAGTCTTTGTGAAGTGCCTCAATACAAATTATTTCGTTCACCTGCTAGGAATAATAGTATTTCAATAGTCAGAGCAGGGACTTGTTAGTATCCCAAGTCCCTGGTCAGAGTGCAACTGCATATATTAAGTGTTGCTAGGTAGGTCAAGCCATAATGTTTGTCCAACCTACCAACAACGTTTGTATGCAGTTCGGATTCTGTCTATTGAAATACTATTATTCTTATCAGGCGAATGAAATAATTTGTGTTGAGGCACCTCACAAAGATTTATGCATCATTTTGGTTACATTACGAAAATGGCCTATTGACTCATTGAGTTAAACTGACTGGTGTATTGAGCATACTGTAAACGGCAGCACGAGGGCTGAATTACATTCATTTTGCAACACATAGCAATGTTTAAACAAATATTACATAACGTTTGCGAGAAAACATTCAAAAGAAAAATAAATAGGATAAAATATTATGACCAAAGAAAACCTCTTAATCTGGACATCTAGGAAGATCTAGGAATAAAGCGATTCATCTGTATTACTTTAAATAATTATAATTTATTTGTTTTGTTCATGTATATGTATTATGTTTGTTTATACGATGACAAAACCACGCCAAACCAATCCAAGGCTTGAACGACAGCAACGTCCTTTAAAAAGGCATTAATCCAACATTTGCCACTCTCCACCCAGGTGTAAATGGGTACCTGGCAAATAATATTGATGGGGTAATAATAATTGCAGGGCCCGCGGGAGCAGCAGTATCAGTAATGATATTGCTACCCGTGGTTCACAAAATTATCATTATTATTATTATTGTTATTATTATATGGCGATATCACTTACAGTAAAGTGGAGAAAATGGGTATATGTAAACAATTGTGTATTTTAGTTTGGTGCAATTTATAATCATGCAATGTTCACTAAATAAAACTCTGCTAAGTAATACTCTGTCTTTGAAAAACAATTTTATAGTAGTTTGTGGAAATAAACACCCTTAATTCATGAAATTTATTTGCTCTAAAGAATGAATCATGCATTTAAAAAAGTCACAAACGTTACTCGCTTCGTTGACAAAATGGTAATGACAGAGATGATGGTGATGATGGTGTTGATGATGATGTTGATGGTGTTGATGATGATGATGATAATGACGATGATGATGATGATTATGACTATCCACCTTATGGTTCGCGATTCAAGCATTGTGATAGATTGTTATAAATATAATATAAATATTTACATATATAATATCCATTGTAAATAGAATCGGGCTGAACGATAGTCCTACCGCTGAATCGTGATGTCCGTCAGAGTCCCTTCATCGCCCTTGACGATAATGATGGGCCCAGCTGCAGATAACGTTAACCATTGTCATGATTATACATGTTTGCCTTAGACATTCACAGTCACAGGAATATATAGTTACACATATTATATTATTGGACAAATGTGACAACTTTGATGACTCTCGTGGAAATGAATACATAATGATATAATGATATAATAATAATAATAACATTTAATTTGTATATAGCGCTTAATACAAATGTCTCTACGCGCTTTACAAATATACTATTACCCCGGTCATTGGATTCAGTGCTTGCCCGCACACAACGTGTGCACAATCTCCACTCCCGGGGGAGCATTCCAGCCAGGCGTTACATGACGCTCAAAAACTGTTTGACCAACAATGACGGTCGCATCCTACCGGGTACCCATTTAACACCTGGGTTGAGAGTAGCAAGTGCAGGTTAATATCTTGCCAAAGGATATTAGTGCCATGTCGGGATTCGAACCTTAGACCTTCGCATCTCCAAGTCAAGCGCCTTAAACCACTCGACCATATCGAAGAACATATATAATCATATAATCATAAAAAACATAAAAAAGTCATAAATACAGACTAAATAATAGGCCAGTACCTCTAAGAAGAAACTGCTTGTACATGAACATGGGCCCCTAAACAAGGTAAACACAATATCAAATTAAAAAGCAAAATAAATAAAAATTGAGAATGAGAAAGAGAAGAACAAGAAGAGATGGGAATGAGAAAGAGGAGAAGGGGAAGAGATGAGAATGAGAAAGAGGAGAAAAAGAAGAGATGGGAATGAGAAAGAGGAGAAGGGGAAGAGATGAAAATGAGAAAGAGGAGAAGGGGAAGAGATGAGAATGAGAAAGAGAAGAAAGGGAAGAGGTGAGAAGGAGAAAGAGAAGAAAAAGAAGAGATGGGAATGAGAAAGAGGAGAAGGGGAAGAGATGAGAATGAGAAAGAGAAGAAAAAGAAGAGATGAGAATGAGAAAGAGGAGAAGGGGAAGAGATGAGAATGAGAAAGAGAAGACAAAGAAGAGATTGGAATGAGAAAGAGGAGAAGGGAAGAGATGAGAATGAGAAAGAGGAGAAGGGGAAGAGATGAAAATGAGAAAGAGGAGAAGGGGAAGAGATGAGAATGAGAAAGAGAAGAAAAAGAAGAGATGGGAATGAGAAAGAGGACAAGAGGAAGAGATGAGAATGAGAAAGAGGAGAAGGGGAAGAGATGAGAATGAGAAAGAGAAGAAAAAGAAGAGATGGAATGAGAAAGAGGAGAAGGGGAAGAGATGAGAATGAGAAAGAGGAGAAGGGGAAGAGATGAGAATGAGAAAGAGAAGAAAAAGAAGAGATGGGAATGAGAAAGAGGAGAAGGGGAAGAGATGAGAATGAGAAAAAGGAGAAAAAGAATAGATGGGAATGAGAAAGAGGAGAAGGGGAAGATATGAGAATGAGAAAGAGGAGAAGGGGAAGAGATGAGAATAAGAAAGAGGAGAAAAAGAAGAGATGGGAATGAGAAAGAGGAGAAGGGGAAGAGATGAGAATGAGAAAGAGAAGAAAAAGAAGAGATGAGAATGAGAAGGAGGAGAAGGGGAAGAGATGAGAATGAGAAAGAGGAGAAGGGGAAGAGATGATAATGAGAAAGAGAAGACAAAGAAGAGATGGGAATGAGAAAAAGGAGAAGGGGAAGAGATGAGAATGAGAAAGAGAAGAAAAAGAAGAGATGGGAATGAGAAAGAGGAGAAGGGGAAGAGATTAGAATGAGAAAGAGAAGAAAAAGAAGAGATGGGAATGAGAAAGAGGAGAAGGGGAAGAGATGAGAATGAGAAAGAGGACAAGGGGAAGAGATGAGAATGAGAAAGAGAAGACAAAGAAGAGATGAGAATGAGAAAGAGGAGAAGGGGAAGAGATTAGAATGAGAAAGAGAAGAAAAAGAAGAGATGGGAATGAGAAAGAGGAGAAGGGGAAGAGATGAGAATGAGAAAGAGGAGAAGGGGAAGAGATGAGAATGAGAAAGAGGAGAAGGGGAAGAGATGAGAATGAGAAAGAGGAGAAGGGGAAGAGATGAGAATGAGAAAGAGAAGAAGGGGAAGAGATGAGAATGAGAAAGAGGAGAAGGGGAAGAGATGAGAATGAGAAAGAGGAGAAGGGGAAGAGATGAGAATGAGAAAGAGAAAAAAAAGAAGAGATGGGAATGAGAAAGAGGAGAAGGGGAAGAGATGAGAATGAGAAAGAGAAAAAAAAGAAGAGATGGGAATGAGAAAGAGGAGAAGGGGAAGAGATGAGAATGAGAAAGAGGAGAAGGGGAAGAGATGAGAATGAGAAAGAGGAGAAGGGGAAGAGATGAGAATGAGAAAGAGGAGAAGGGGAAGAGATGAGAATGAGATAGAGAAGAAAAAGAAGAGATGGGAATGAGAAAGAGGAGAAGGGGATGAGATGAGAATGAGAAAGAGAAGAAAAAGAAGAGATGAGAATGAGAAAGAGGAGAAGGGGAAGAGATGAGAATGAGAAAGAGGAGAAGGGGAAGAGATGATAATGAGAAAGAGAAGACAAAGAAGAGATGGGAATGAGAAAAAGGAGAAGGGGAAGAGATGAGAATGAGAAAGAGAAGAAAAAGAAGAGATGGAAATGAGAAAGAGGAGAAGGGGAAGAGATGAGAATGAGAAAGAGAAGAAAAAGAAGAGATGAGAATGAGAAAGAGGAGAAGGGGAAGATATGAGAATGAGAAAGATTGATTGACACGAATCTGTGATCAGGGGCGTCTCCAAAGGGGGGGGGGTGAGGGGGTGCAACCCCCCCCCCCACCTGTCAGGATATTGTCGGTAAAATTGCGCTGCCGTCGGGAAAAAAATGGGGAGGGAAAAAAAGAGAGGAAAGAAAAGAAAAAAGACAAGAAAAAGAAAAGAAAGAAAGGAAAAGAATGGAAAAGAAAGGAAAGAAAAGAAAAGAAAGGAAAAGAAAGGAAAGAAAAGAAAAGAAAGAAAGAGAAAAAAGAAGAAAAAGAAGGAGGAAAGGAAAGAAAGGAAAAGAAAGAAAAGGAAAAAAAGAAGAGAAAATGGAAACACAAGAAACGGGGGTTGATAGAGAGGAGAGAGAGGGGTAAGAGCCTAAGAAAGGAGGAGTGGGAGTAAAAGAAAGGGGGGGGGGGGGGGGGGGTTGTTGGGTGGAGTCGTCTCATCAAGGACGCAAGAAAGACACGGGTAAATATGTTGCTGTGTCGGGTCAGCTGTGTCGGTATTCTTGCTCGACCCTCGTGTACTATATCAATGAAGAAGTTTGAAGTCGGTGAGATGTATATCGTCGGTCGGCCGACAAGTTTTTTTCCCTACGAACTGTGACTTTTTATCCGCTGTGACGACTTCGAGAGTGACTACAACTACAATACTTGTATTTTCTCGAAGTTTCACTTTCCTATAATATTAGCTAAAGAAATCAGAGTTTCAAAATTCGGGGAAACTAAATTCAAACAAGGATTAAGAGTCAACAGACGATTCGTTGGACCGTTTTCGACTCTACATAAGCCCTAATTGTCTGAATTCAGTTCCCCCCTTGAGCACGGTTCAACGAATCGTCTACTTTCTCTAATAATTGAATGAAACGCCAAAACGTCAGCGCTTCGCGCGGGAGGGGGAGAACTGAATTCAGATAAGGATTAACATCGAGAGCGGTACAGCAAATCGTCTACTTTTTATAATAATTTAATGAAACGTCAAAGCTTTCGCGCTTTGCGCGGGAGGGGGTGGGGGGAAGTTCATTCAGACAAGGATTAACAGTCGAGATCGGTACAATAAATTGTCTTCTTTTCCTAATAATTTAAGGAAACGTCTAAGCCTAACACCGACACCCCTAATGAGCGCGCTTTGCGCGCTCTTTAACTGATTCGCTTGCTCACTACCGCCCCTCCCTAAATTAAGATCCTAGCTCGCGCCTGCATTAACATAGCTATGATGTTGACTAAGTTGACGAAATAATTCGTATATTTATGTCGTCGAGGAAAATGATCATTTGCGCATACGCAAGTACTATAGATAGTCCACTCTCTTAATTTCTAGGATTTATTTTTAAGTCCAAAGAATTTATTTTTTAAATCCAAGGGCGACTGTAATCAGTGACAAAACACTTGGATTTAAAATAAGTCTAAGCTAACACTTAAAATTTTAGATCCCTGAAAAGGTTTAAAATTTAAGTCAATTGGATTTGTATTTCAAGTCTTTTAATATTTACTTTAAACCTTTCGTGGATTCATTTCAAAAATAAGTCTAGAAATTAAGAGAGTTACATAAGAAAAACAATTTAGCCTTCGGCCCCGGGTTTGCAGGGTTAAATTTGTAGATATTGGGACATTTAATTTTGTCGGTAATTGGTGGCTAGTTTTGTCGGTAATCGTTGGCCTCTACACCCCCCCCCCCCCCCCCACTGAAAAAGGTCTAACGACGCCCCTGTCTGTGATTAGAATCCCACTGCAATATTGTTGAATCATTTTTTTTGGAAAAAAGTAGTAAGGAATTAGAAACCAGTGGACGGTTCTTTTTCTGTCTTATGGGACATTTGGATATCCTTTGTTGTCTACTGACATTACATAACTAATTAATGTTTTATCATTGATTTTGATTGGTCTAGATGGCACTCTTGTTCATGCAACCAAGATATGTATAAATCTAGGGGTCACTCTTGATGATACCTTCAAGTTTGAATAGTTCG